CGGCTGCTGTGTGAGTTAATTGGAGACGTGAGTTACAGCCTCACGACACTGGATTACTTTGGACCAGTCATGGACTCTCAGCCTAGCCTGCCTCACAGGGCTGTTGTGAGGATAAAATGGAAAGGAGCAGGATTGTGCAAACTGCCTCGGCTTCCTTGCAAGACAATTTTTGTTTGTTTGTTTGTTAGATTTATATCCTGCCTTTTTTTCTTACAATGAACTCAGAGCAGCTTACATTATTCTCCTCCTCTTGCTCTCCATCTTATCGCACTACAACAACCATGTGATGTAGGTTAGGCTGAGAGTCTGTGAGTCACCCAGCTGGCTCCATGGCTGAGCAGGGACAAATGATGGGATACAGATTTAATCAGTGACATAGGAAGGAAACAAAAACTCGGAATGTCTATAGTAACATTTTGGTATTTTCTTGAAAATGAAGGCCATGATCCGTCCAGAGTTAGATGCCTCACTTGAAGAGAATTATCATTTTACTGAACACTTCTTTGTAATCGGTGATCGACTGCATCACCATCTTGTTTTGAGTCTTGTGAGGGAATCCTGTTTAGGTAATGGGGCTTCCGTCTGACAATGTGCCTGGGGCTGCAGTTGTCGTGAGATTGCTCATTCAGGCAGAGAAACGTGTAGATGCTACATGTTCTCTAGCAAGACTGTGGAGTAGCTACGTACTTCTGAAAATGTGTTGTTGTGCCTGTTAGTTTTTAACACATTGGCAGGAGATTAAACAAACAGCATTACTCTAACCCCAAACAGATCAATCTGGGAACCAGTTGCTAATGTAGCTTATACTCACATCTGGGAATTTTGAATATATCCATGTAAAATGGGAATTTGTTTGTCTGAGATTAGTATTTAAGTGAAGTACTAGAGTACTTCTTCCTAAAAGTTTTCTGTTTCCAGAACGTTTACTTCAAAAGCAGTTCATAACGTAAGGGGAAGAAACATCAATAAAATAATACAACTCCCAACCTCTCCCGTCACTATTTCTTTCCCCATACCCTCCTCTTCAGCTCACCCTTTACTAACAGGCCTCTGCGGCAGCTCTTCTGCGGCAAACTGCATCCACCATGGGAACCATTTTGTAGTGGTGCTCATGCCAGTTTGTTGAATTCCCAAATGTGCCCACAAGTCCAAAAAGGCTGGAGATCCCTGTGCTTTAGGAACAATTGATTATTCCGTACACCATTTCCTAAAATATCTCAAAACCAGGGCAATTAAAATGGTTTCTCCTTAGTTGGGAACAGTTTTCCAGAGATAGCCAGCCGCCGCCTCCATGAGATGTTCATGTCGGATGAATAGGTCATGTCCCCACGCCTTGTGATCTGCCAAGCTGAACATGGCCCCCTCCTCATGAGGCTCAGCTGCAGCTTGGTTGAACCTTTCCAGCTGTTTGTTTGTTTGGGACTGCTCTGTTGGCCTCCTTGATCTCACCTGTGCAGACCTTGGTTTGACATCAGTGGATTACAGCATGTTTATAGTAGTTACACTTAAATTACAAATTCATTTTGTTACAGATGATAATGGCCTTAACCCAGTTTGGGCATCTCAAGAGCAAGTGAAGTTTGAAATTTATGATCCAAACCTAGCATTTCTGCGCTTTGTTGTCTATGAGGAGGACATGTTTAGTGATCCTAATTTCTTAGCACATGCCACATTTCCTATCAAAGGAATCAAATCAGGTAAATACCAAGCATAAATTAACAAATTAAGCAAAAAAATAGTGACAATTTGCACATAACTTTGGCTTTCCCATCCCAGGTGACGTATTTAGCTTAGCATACTAATGCACCCTTAAAGGGCAGTTGAGGAGTGACTGAAGAATTAAGTTGCATGGTCTTGAATGGTTTTTTTTAAATTTAAGAATACTTTCTTAGCTCTTTAATGGGTAAGCTTAGCTTAGGTGATTTCTTGCTAAGATTTTTAGCATAAACTTGCTGATCAGTCAGGGTCTGAGACCAAGTGCAACCCTGTTTCTTCTTGCTTGTCAGCTTTTGTCTCAACCTTCTCAAGACTTTTCCTGCCATGTCAGTTGTTCAGGGCTTCTGGGGCATATACCACCACCTGATAAAATTTCCTGAGGTTCATCTTTTTGTCTTCCTTGGCTGTACCTACACTTTGCTTATTCCAAAATTCATGGTGATCTGCTGCACTGGACATACTAAAATAGCTAATTAAGTATTTTTCCTCCCAACCATATTTTATGTGTCTTCTTTTTCAAAAACCCTGTCATTTCAAACGATGATTGTTTTCACTGCTCAAAACAATTTTTAGGACCTAGTGAATCAGCCATAAAGCAATGGTCATTGAAATTCTGTTACATTGCCAGTTTTCACAGTGGGAAGGAGATAAGCTAGGAACCACTTTGCAGTGGGAGGAAGAACGTGCCAGTTAAGTGGCAAATGTTTCTGTTGTTCATTGTTCCCCTTGGGAAAAATATCAATGCGAAGAACTGTGCTGCACTAGGTTTATACCTAGGATTTCAGTAAAAAGCCTAGACTATGATGGAGTCGCTCCTATCAGTCTCCTCCACACCCAGAATAACGAATATGTCCTGAAATCTATCCCTGCTATCAATTGTCTGGCTAGCTTAGTTCTACTTTTGCTTTTTGAACTGTTGCAGAAAAGCAGATCCCTTGTGGCAGCTTGTGATTTTTTTCAGCTCTGGTTCATGTGACTGTCTTGCGATACTCCATGGTGCCCTTGTCTTTCCTGCTCTGCCTGCTGCTTCCTAGTAAATCTCCAAACTCTTTTCTACTTTCAAGACTAGAACAGGTGAGCTACAGGCTGTTCCATCATGTCTGTGAGTCTGAGGCAACCTTGAAGTTAACACTGACCTTCGTAATCCTGCCCCTTTAGGCTTTCGGGCAGTCCCTCTCAAAAACGGACATAGCGAGGATTTAGAGCTGGCTTCCCTCTTGGTTTATTGTGAGATGCAGCAAATTCAGGTAAGCGCAACAGCAGTAACTCTCCCTTATGCTGGGTAGCAAAAACTGGGGCATTTTGGAAATTATAAATGTGAAATGTGTATTAACTTTATTCATGAATTGCATTTCTATCCTCCTTTTTCTCCAAGGAGCCTAAGTGCTCTATATGAGCCTCCTGCCCGTTCCTATGGGACTAGTGAGTGGGGGGGGGGGGGGGATTGGTAGCTTCCAGCAGGTTGGTGGAAACAGAGCCACCCTGCTGCAAAACTGGGTGAGGAGCCAGGATCAAGGCCAATGTGGCATTCCTATTTTGGGCCAGGAGTTTTAACCAGGTAACTTTTGATTCAGCCTTATGGAGAACTGAATGCCATTTCTGTTAGCATTGTTTCTTTCCTGAGGAATTGGTGCCATGTTGGTCATATATTGTGAATCCCAATTTTGTGTGGCAGGTACTGGCCTCTCAACAACCTTGAGCTGTACTTTAGGCTGAGGAAAGAAGAGAGGGAGGAAGAAGGTTCCACATGTAATAGGGTTTTCCCAAATTTCAGCCTTTTCCAACCTGATGGCCTCCAGATCTCTTGGCTAGGCCACATGAGCTTCTAGGAGTTGTATTCCAACACATCTTGGGTACACTGGGTTGGGAAAGGTCCTGTAGTGACCTATAGTGACCTCAGTAGCTGCCTCCACCTTCAAAAGCTACTCCTGAGGCTGAAGGACCTTTAATGAGATGTTAAAAGGTTGCTGTTGAAGTTGGAAGGATAGCCATAAACTTTGCGTATTCCCTTGGTCCAAATGAAACCACCCACACCGTATGGCAGGAATGGGGAATGTGTGACTCCAGGTGCTATTAGAATTAACTCCAGCATTGGCCAGGCTGACTGGAGGCTGATGCCAGTTGTAATCCAGTACATGCGAAGAGCCACACATTCTTCACTTTGGGATCCATCAGTTATGATCATTAATATTTGGTGTAAGCTTCTCATGTTACCTATTTTCCCCCTCAGTGGATTTTTTCCCTTTATTCTGTATTCAGGTGTGTTTTTTCACTGTGGCTCCAGTCCTCTTAAAGCCCAGTTTATTTTAGTGGGAGAGAATTGAGCATGTACTTACTACTAACTTAACTCTTCTATTGACATTCGTAAAATTATGATTTAGATGTATACAAAGAGCTTGACAGTCAATATTTTTCTAAAATGTCTGTTAGAGCTTTCTGGAAGAAAACATTTTAATTTGCCTTCTTTCCAGGTGTGTCTAAGCATTTTGAATACATACTTTTATTGTCCGCCCCCTGCCCTTGATTTCTTTTAACAAACCAATATGGGGGCTTGACTTACATTTCACCTACAATTCCCCAGAACCTGAGCAAGGTGTGAAGATCCTCCTTGTTTTTTACAAATGCATTAATACTCTGTAGTTTTGTAAAAGTCCCATGGTGTAGCAAGGAAGGGGTATGATCTCCTTGATTATAAAGGGAGACTCAGGTATTTGAGCTCCAGAAATCAGAATTTATACTGTATGATGTACTAGAACTGAAGCTTGTGAAACTTGCAAGTTTTTGAAATACTGTTTATTTTTTTTTTAACTAGGAGACTCACACGTAAATAAATTCATGGATGGCATAGAAATGTTTTAAATAAATAAAGTACTTTTCTTACTTTTTCTTTGGAGGAAAGTGAAGAAGAGCTCTATTCATCATTTCGGCAGCTACGGCAGCGCCAAGCAGAACTGAACAATCAGTTATATGACTCCCGACGGAACATAAGGAGCCCCAACCGAGATGCATTATTGCAAGAATTCAGCGTGAATGAGGGTCAGTTACGAGTATATCAAGAGACTTGCAACAAGAGGTATGCTGACAGGGATCTATTGTCTAAGAAAACCCAAGAGAACTTGAAACATAATTTTTGTATATGACTTTTTAGTGTGAATTTCAACTTGAAACCTAAAAAAAAATATTTGAGTGAATCTATTGCAAGGAATACCTATATACAGTGTGCCCCTACATGTTCAATAGATAGCTATTGAAGAAAGTACTATAGACTATTAAACATGCACAGACTTCAAGAAAGGCAGTCCACATATCCTTTTGTAAATTATGGCTAAAAACCACCCATTCAAAATCAAGTTTCATTGATCCATTGTATTGTTACAGTGGCTGTTTGTCCTTCTTGCACTTTTTAGCTGTCAAAAAAGTATTTAGAATTCACTTACATTGACCTCATGATAAGTTCCAAGAGACAGATCATTAAAAAGAACATGTGTATCCAGAAATATGGAAGCACTTTCTAATACAACATTTATCCAAATTATTATCACCTCCCAAAAGGAAGGAGCCAGTGGGCAGTGCCAAAACATATGGGGTAAGAGAAACATTAGCATTGTGGCATCTCTAGCAGTTGGTTGATTTAGGTAAATCCTTATTGGAAAGACATTGTGATGTCCAGCATACCCAAAACATCTACTTTTACCTGATTAACCATAACTTGAGATCCAGTACCCCTTTTAACAAAGTCCTCCCTGAATTGAGCAAAATAGAGTATTCCAACCCATTGTTGGTACTTCTAGCTTAGTACCTTGTATATCATATTTGTTCGCTGATAATATATATTTATAAAACCTAGTGTGTGGGTCAGCACAGCTGCTCAACCTGAACTGGAAGCTCTGAAGCTGTAAAAGCAGCACGACTGGACCTAGCAAGAATTTCTAACAGGAGTTTCAGTTGCATGCACTGCCATTAGCAAACCATGTTTAGCAGGCAAAATAGGGAATGGCAAGGTGTTACCATCCGATCAGCCTACAAGTTGATCCAGAGAAAAAAAAATCGTCCTGTCTGTCCAAGCCCGCGAAACAAACATTTTCTAGCAGTCTTTTAAGCCTGGGTTTCTCCATAGAGTTATTTTTGTATTTGAAAATAGATCAATTGACTTGAAACTATGGGCCACAGCTCTCGTTCAGCTAGAACTGTAGGAGACCTCCTGTCTGTTGTGCCATCTTTGAATACCCATGGTAATTCATTTGGAGAAAGGATCCAACAATGAAGATTCCAAACCTGACCAAGGGAAAGAGTCTAATCTGAGAAAAATTGCTAAAATTTAGTAAAAGTCAACAAATAAGCTTGAAAATATAAAAAGAAATTGGGGAAGCCAAATCCTCCTTCCTCTGATTGAAAGTTGCAGCCTTTTAAACAATATTCAAGGTGGATTCCCACAGGAATTTAGGAAACAGAGCATTAAGTTTATGAAAATACTTAGCAGCCATAAATAGAGGAATACCATGTAAAACCTAAACAATTTGGTGGCATTACATCCATTTTAAGTGCATTTATCCTTCCTCATGTCAATGTCCCACTAAGTTTCCTTAATTTAGCTTACTCAAATTTAGCTTGATCATTTGAGCTATATGTTTGGGCCAGTATTCCCAGATAAGTGATAAATTCTGACATGAACTAGCATATTAGGAGATTTAATACCTCCAAATAACATAAGTTCATGTTAACTGATCAATAGTTGAAATGGCTAATCATCCACATTGAAGCCGGAATATATTAGTGGACTGCCAAGATGAACAGTAGAAGATCAACGGAAGAATAAGATTACAGTGTAAACAATTATACACAAATCTGTGTATTTTGGCAGAATACATATACTAGGGGTCGCAAACATAGATCAAATATCAGTGGAGAAAATGGACATCTGGTACCTCTCTTAAGAAAGAAGTCAGAAAAAAGTCCATTGGTTGTGCCTCTAGCTTTCAGGACCAAATATAACGTTTTAATTCATTTCTGAAATTCTGCAGAAAAAGAAACATCTATCAATGTAGCCAGAATAAATGTTTAGTGAATTTTATCAGAAGCTTTCTCCTTATCCAAAGAACTAATGAGCTCTGTGTCTGGTCTATCCATATTTAATGAAACCGTATCAACCACCAAACTGAGATTGTTAGCTCCTTTTCTGTTTTGATGAGCCCCGTCTGATTCAGCTGGACTAATGTGGTAGAACATGTACTCTGTCAGCCAGAATTGCAGTTAAAATTTTAATGTTGACATTAATTAGATAGGTTGGTAATTAGCACAGGAAGTATGATCTCTATTATGGTAAATTATAGAGAATTAGGGTAAATAGACCTGTTGTTGGGTACTGGTGAAAGGCAACCTGGTTAAAAAATGAACTTGAATAATAAATTTAAGAAACTGGGGGACACAACAGACCCCCAATCATTATCCATTCTTAGAATGTGACTCAAAGCCTAAAGAAGGAAGGTAGCTTCATCTGTATTGACCCAAGGGCTTTAGAAGTCACATGCAACCCATCAAAGGTGTGCCTGCAGTCCTGTGTCCCTGGAGACACAGGTTATTTGGATCCACCCAGCAGAGGGTGGAGAGGACTCCCTTTCTAACCCCTGTGGAATGTACCCCATATTTCACATTCCAGAGGTGAAAAAGGAGCACGGCCACAGGTGGATTCACCTCCAAGCATCATGGAGAAACACGTTTGCCAGCCCTGAGGTCAACACCCCCCAGCCCTAGCAGGAATCAAGAGAACAGCACTCTTCCCTCCCTCCCACTTTGCCATTATGGGCATTGCAAAACTTGAGTGTGACCAAGTCTGGGTCCAATTGGTAAAGTGCCATGTAAATGCACATAAATGCTTCTTGCCTTTATAATGAACCTTTACATTTCATTCTCTAAGTCATGGGTCCTCAAACTACGGCCCATGGGCTGGATCCGGCCCGCCATGCCCATTTATCCGGCCTGCCATAGCTTGCCACGCGCACGGTGAGGTGGCGGCTTGCCTCACAAGATCGTTTTGACTCACTCGGAGAACAGGCTCTCCTTGCAAGCAAGCTGGCGCCTTGTCGGGAGATCCTTTCTTCCAAGCGAGTCCAAAACGATCTCCGGCCCTGAGGCACCGGCTTGCTTGCAAGGAGATTGTTTTGGACTCGTTGGGAGAAAATGATCTCTGCGCACGCATGTTCCTGCCTTGCTGCATACGTGCCCCCCCACCCTGGCCCATGCCCCCCTGCCCATCGCTGGCACTGACCCCCTATTCAAAAAGTTTGAGAACCCCTGCTCTAAGTGTACTTCCAGTTTTAAGGAAAGAAAATGCCATGTTGGGGTGGAAGAGGTGGAGGGAACTAACATACCTAACCACACAGATTTTTTTATTTGCTCTTGTTTAGATTGAGAGAGAAAAGAGTCAGCAACAGCAAATTCTACTCCTAGGGGAACAATTTTTCTTTGACACGTTATTCCTGGTAAGAGACATTGCCTTATCCTGCTCGCAGTGGTGGCTCCGAGTCTGAAATTTACAGGAATCCCAAGCTTTAAGATAATGCTAAACAAGTTTTCTGGGCGGGGGGACGGTTACATACATTGTGGAGTCACGCTCTGCTCAAAGCAATCATTGCAAAGCCTGGGATATTTTGCGTAGGAAGCATATACTGTAAGTGCCAAGGGCAGTGCCTCTGCCAGCTGGCCTTCCTGCGTACAGTGGTTTTGTATTAAGTTATGCCATTGCTTTGCTTTATAAAGTATTTTAATTGTCTGTTGTTAGCCACCTAGAGATACCATGGGTGACATATCAATGTTTAAATAAGTAAATAAATAAGTATGTTAGGCTTTTGCAACACTAGACTCTTAGGGGAGTTGATCACAATGGAACAGTCAATGTGCCACTGAAATACATTGTTATCCTTTTTGCTAAGCCTGCTCTTCCTTCTGTATTAGGTGGAACTGCTTTCCCAAATCATCAGGGAGGAGAGGATGTCTATCATGCACTTCAGCTGCCACTAACTGGCTTATGTTGTCTTTGAAATTACCTAATATAGTAGCAACAAAAGTTAAACCATCAGATATACTATGGACTATCCAGGGTTGTTTCTACAAAATAGAAGAATGTCAGATTTGAAGGAAAACAAACTTTTTCTTGTGTGTTTTAGAAATCTTAAAATTGTAAAATCTTTATTTGATTTTATCGGTCTAAAATTTATTTATTTTTAAATGTTATGTGTACATCGAAAATACGTATGTGGAAGTACAAAGTCCAACTTGCACAAAATTTACATGGGTTTGTACAATTTTCAGACAGATTAAAATGACTAGCATAAATCAAAACAACTTTGTCATTTAAAGGTTATAAAGGAAGCTACTCTTTTATATGTGCCAGATAGCTTTGTGCAAGAAAAAGAGACGCATTGCAGATGCCAAGTTTCTAGTATTTCATTGTATTTCCAACTATGCCTTTCAGTGCATCATGCAAAGATGACGAGCAATGTGTAAGGTTTGCCCTTCAAAACCCATCTATTTGTTAGCAAATTCTATTGGTATTCACACTTCTAAGTTCAAAACTGACTTTAGAAAAAAATCTTGTATGGACATTTTAATTGTATCAAAGAATGCAATGTACAGCCTTTGGGCAAGGATGATGGGTGTTGAGCCCAAATTATGTTGGCAAATGCTTATTTAGACCAGTAAAATCCCACAGCTGGGCTAGACCCATTCTTAATCCAAGTTTTTATGCAGGTGTGAGCAGAAAAGTGTACTGCCTCTGTTACATGTTGTCCTAATAGCTTGCAAACCCCTGAAGTCAGGTCATGGTGCATGCAGAACAATCGTTTGTCTCCTAAGGGTGAATTATTCACTTCCGGACACAATACTGCTTTAAGTGTGTGCATTATTTTATTGGAAAAAAACAGATATTCTGTACAGTAAATACAACTTGACAGGTATGACAAAAAACAGTTTAGGTGTTCCTAATTATAAAAAGGGGGTTTGTTCCTAAAGTCAGCACCTATCAATCTGTATCCAGCGGTAACCCCATAACGTGTGTTGACATTACAAATGACCTGCACATTTCTTATCATAGCAGCCTGCAAATTATCTGAGACAGAGTAGAGTGATACAGAAGTAACTTTTTGATTTAGTTTGAAGAAACCTATACAACCTCTAATCAAACAGTTGTATGTATATTATACAGTCTGTTTAAAGTAAAAATAGCCTGCAGGCAGTGGGGTACAATCGTTTGTCTAGATGACTGGCTTTGTTACTGTCACTGTTCCTATCAAATAAATAGAAAAAATAAATAAGGGAGAAAGAAGGGACTGCTCTAACCAGAGGCCCACAAATCCCTTGTACACCATTGTACATACGTAATTATAATTTAAAATGTGTATCTCGATGTATAAATTCTTAGCCCATACTCAAATTGAAGTTCTAGAGATCAGTCCAAAGAGAGAGAGAGAGAGAGTGTGCGTTTTAAAAAAAGTGCTGGTTCTTTTGTGTGTTTATCTTAGAAAATGCAGAGGATCTGCAGCAGCAGACACAAGCTTCTCTGTAAAGGTTTTCCCCTACCTCCTATTGCAAAAGTTAAGTTCAGTCCTAATATATTGCATACCTTTACTAGAAATTCTGCACATTTGTGTTCTAAAAAATAATCAGCATTAAAACCACACACAGTCACTGGAGTATGAAAGCAGAAACGGAGCTGCATTACAGCAACATGATTAAAAATCTTGCCAGTAGAATTGGTGCAACACCACGGCACTCAAAAACAGATGTATATGTTGCAACTGTGGGAAAAAAACACTGGAACTTGTATTTAGCTCCACAGTATGTTGTATATACTTGTGGCAGACAGATCTTGTAGAAATGGAGGCACAGAAAGAGAAAAGTCATGATCAAACTGGAATGTTCTTTCGACTTGGAGAAAGATGGTGGCGTACATTGTCCAATCTGGATCAAGAGTAAATGGTGATGACTTCCCGGCCTCCACCTCGGACAAGTAGCACTCGCTCCAAGCCTTCGGTCAGGACCTCGAGAAATTCCATGTCTGGAGCAATGCAAGTAAAGGATGAGAACACAGATATGGAGGAGTTTATAGTGCCCTTTGTCTCTCATAGTAAACTGCTTTCTCACACACATTCAGGACCCTTGGAATTCCCTTGAGGCATATAGGACATGTGATTTTTAACCCCTGGCAAGACCACTGGCATTGTGAAGAGCTTAACTGTGCTGAACAGTACATTGCTTTAATTTGCAAACATGATTATTCAGTGTGCATTCACTGAAACACTATCGCTTTCCTTTCTTGTGGTTGAAATATGGCTGTAGAGAGGATGCACTGGAGGGCCCGTGCTGAATTGTTCTATTGTAAGGCCTGCTCGCTCTTTTGGGGAAGAAATCTCTGCATGGAAACTGGCTCTGGCTCCCCCTTCCCACGGAGCAGGATGGCAGCTCAAGATCGACAGGCAAATGGTCAAGGAGAATCTCACAGGGTTGAACAGTAAAAATCTCCAGGGTCCAACGCACTCCAGCCTAGAGCCATAAAAGTGCTGGCAGAATTCTCGGAATCATTATTATCTTTGAGAAATGACAGAAGGGAAGTGCCAGATGACTTGAGAAGGGGAAATGTTTTCATCTTCAAGAAAGGGAAAAAAGAACTATCTGGGACCTACAGGCCAGTCTGACCAACCTCAATCCCTGGGAAAATTCTGGAGCAGATTATAAAGCAGTCCATCCGCAAACACCTGGAAAACAATGCAGTGATGACTAGTCAAGAACAAATCCTGCCAGAATAGGCTGATCTCATTTTTTGATTGGGCAGCCTCCTGAGGGACTGTGGGAATGCTGAGGACATAATCTACCTTGACTTCAGCAAAGCTTTTGACAAAATGCCCCCTGATATCCTGATTAACGAACTAGGAAGTGGGCTAGAAGGAACGAATCAGGTGGATCTAGAGTTGGCTACAGAACTGGACTCAAAGAGTGCTCATCAACGGTACCTTCTCAGACTGGGGATGGTAACAAGTGGGATACCGCAGGGTTCAGTGCTCTTTATCATTTTTATTAATGATTTGGATGAGGAAGTGCAAGGAGCACCTATCAGATCTGTGGATTGCATAAAAGTGGGTGGAATAGCTAACACCCCGGAAGACATAAAAGAAGATTCAAGGTGATCTTGATAGGTTGGAGCCCTGGGCTGAAACAAGAGAATGGAATTCAGTAGGGACAAATGCTAAATTCTGCACCTAGGAAGAAGAAACCGCATGCCTAGTTACAAGATGGGGAATACTTGGCTCCACAATACTGCAGCAACATGATGTGACTGCAGAAAGGGCAAGTGCTGTTTTAGGCGTCATTAATTCAAGTATCACTTCCAAATCGATCATGAGAAGTAAAAGCCCTGTTAGGCCTCATCTGTTCACTTGGTTCAACAATACTGCACGTGAGAAGGATCTTACAATTGTAGATCAAAAGCTGAACATGAGTCATTAGTGTGATATGGCTGCAAGAACGGGCAAATGCTCTTTTAAGTTGCATTATTCCAAATGTGAAATACTAGTTTCCCTTTACTCAGCGCTGCTTAGGCATCCTTGGGAGCCCTGTGTCCAGTTCTGGGCACCACAGCTTAAGAAAGATGCAGACAAGCTGGAAAAGGTTCAGAGGAGGGCAACAAGGATGATCCAGGGACTGGTAACAAAGCCCTCTGTGGGGAGATTGAAAGAACTGGGAATGTTTAGCCTCAAGAAGAGAAGACTCGGGAGATACAATAGTCCTCTACAGGCACTTAGGGTCACAAAGAGGAAGGAGAGTAACTCTTCTTGATGTGGAGTCCTGCCCTGAGCAGGGGATTGGACCTGATGGTCTTACGGGCCCTTCCAACTCTACTCTTCTGTGTTTCCATGAATATTTATGCAATGAACACGTGCCAATTTATTTTTCTTTCCTTCACTTCTGTGTCATAATACTAATATTTTGTACCTCCACAGTACTTACTGAGTATCTTGTATGCATCAAGGGGCAATTATACCCATTCCAGCTCCAGGTTGTAGCACATCAAAGTGTGGAAAAGCCAAAGGGGGTGAATAGTTCTGCCAGGTTGTGCATGCTCAGTTGCATTTGTACCATTCAACTAAACTACAGAATGAATCAGAGGGCAGTGCCTATAAAAATATTCAATCTGCCTGCCAAATAATGGGAACGCTCTGCAGTGTTTGGAGGAGTCTGGCATATGATTGCAAAGATTATTTTAAGTTTAGAGAAACACTGGTCTACCAATATAGCTACATGTTCTTTCAATAAGAATTGGAATAAATGTTTCACTAGAAACGATTGTAGGCCATTGTCGACCATCCCTCGTAGCTCTGTTTCATTAAAAACAATGGTCCTTTTCCTTACATAAATTTCCCCCAGCATCCTCAGGATAAAGCAGGCTGTGAACAAACTGGGCAAAAGCTTGTGCACTATTTTTAGCTCCCTTCTGTTTGCCACTGGCCGTTACAAGATTACTTCCTAGCTCATGGAACAAGCTCTCCAGATTTCAAGGAATCCAAGAAACAATGGAATTGCAGACTTCCACAATAAAAGGATACAGTTTTCATCTCCATCCGTGTTCTTTGGAGGGCCGGGCATGTTGAGAAGAACAAGCCGGGCATCATGGGACCTGTTTACAATTACTTCGTTCAGCTTCACAGCAGTGTGCATCCTCCGGACGTTCGACTGGTTGCTGCAGGATCACATCCACACATGCTATTACCGACCACCATTTGCAAGGTACAAAGGAAAACCACCACCCTGGCAGGACTGGCCAGATGAGTCCGGGTTAGTCAAAGACTCGGGAGGCGCCAGGTTGGAGGGCTGCTGTGCAGTTGGGTTTCAGCCCTTTTGCTCCTCTGCCCAAGAAACGAGTCAAGGGCCTGCGTCTCGAGGTGTGGGAGCTTGCCTTTGTGGTAATTCGTGAAGCAGGGCGAGCCTCTCGGTTCTGTACTGGGGTTTCTGTGCTATTAGAGCAAAGACTCAGATGCAAGATTTTCAAAATGGGAATTTCCTCACTGCCCTCCCCAAAAGTGATTTGAAATTTCCCGTTCCTACATACACCCAGTGTGATCTATAATGATGACAGCAAAGCCTGCAATACCCTCTGCAGGGAACGTACCTAATTGTGCTTTTAATACAAAGATCGGGGGCAGCATTTAAATAGCCAGTGGCAACGACTCATCTTTCTGTGACCCATGAAAAGGTCAGTCGGCTCAGATATTTCCCCAGAACACTGGAGCGCCCAGATTCCCAGTCCAACACGCAAAGCACACCACTGCACTGGGCCGTAATACCAAGGAAGCACAACCCCGAGGTCCTGAGCGAGATGCGCTGGCGGTAGCAGGACGAGTCACATAGCTCAGCGCTGTTCTGCTCTGACTGGGTTCAGGCAACGCTCAGGGGTTCTTGTTCAAAAGGATGATTCTGTCATCTGAAACCACCCATCTTAATAAGCCATGGTTTGTTCATCAACTCGTGGTCTGGTGTTCTCTTCCGAAGCAAAAAACTGCCCCGGTTGGATAGCAAAAATGGGGGTGGGGTCCCATTCTTGGCACAAGCCGAGTGTGGACAAGTACTGGACCCTCTTTCTCCACACTGGCCCTCCTACCATGTGCGTCTCACCCCGGTGTGGTTGCTTTTGGCATCAGAGCTTGGCTGAATAAAGCACTGGGAATCAGAAGCCGGGGGAGGTGCTTTTCCAGGCCACTTGCTGCGGCCCCCTCTGTTGCGGTTCAGATCAGATACCCAACCCCTAGATTTCCTTTCTGTGTGCCTGGAGGTTTGGTTTAAACTCACAGAACTGCCACCCTTCTCCCTAGCTGGGCCCTAAGAGGGGTCAATAGGTTTAGATGATTAAACTTACAGATGCTCCCACTCGCTGTCAGCATGGAAGGAAACAGTAATATAAGGTTAACGTGCAAGTGCCTAATGAGACTAAAAATTGCACCAATGCTAATACTACTAATAGTGCAAATTGCATGTTTGCATTTCCAAGAAACCCACCCCCTCTTCCTTCCTCCAGCACCCCGCCTCCAGGGTTCATGTCATCTCTAAGCCATTCTGCATCCAATGGCCACTGGGTGTGCTCAATCCTCGGGCTGTTTGGCTGCTTCCTCCCGGAAATGGTTTGCCTGCTCACGCAAACCTTGGGGCTTTAAGCACCAAAGGAAATGTTCGGCGTGTCCCATGCATGTGTTTGATTGCCCTCAGCCACCACTGCTGAATTTGTGAATGATGGGAGAATGCAATTCACACAAGAATGGGAGGATGCAATGGCACGCAATCTTCCCGAGCCATTTGCGCTCTCCCAAGCCTTTGGCAGTAAGAATGTGATTGGTGGGATGGGAATGGGAAATCTGGCTATGGCATCTTGGCCACTGCGCTGAAAGCTTCCACCTGCAGGTGGCCCATGTGCCACAGGCTTCCCATGTGAAGTATATACACAAAAGGAAGGGGAGACTTTGTCAGTCTGGCCCTAATGACACGCAGTGACTATACGGCTCAATTTTCTTGCCCCAGTGGGACTTTGGCCCTTACGGTTTAATGCTGATGAGCTCTTTGAAGTTCTCCGCTGCACTGTTACGGATCCCTTTCTCAGAGGCATGCTTGTCCTTCGTCCAGGTCATTTGGATCTTCTCTGGCACGGCTTCCCCCTCATCTTCCTCGTCAGAGTAGAGGCTCTCCAGCCTGATGATCAAATGTCTGTCCTTCACCAGCTGGGCCTGGAAGAACACAGCCGGGGTTTCATTTCCAGGAGAACAACCACCTCTCATGGCTTTCTGATTGCCTTGCGCTAACCGGGTAGAGCAGCCTTCCCCAACCTGGCAGCCTTCAGAGGCATTTGGACCGCAACTCCCAAAATTCCCATCCAGGAGGGGCACTGACTGGGAATGCTGGGTGCTGCAGTCCAAGCATGCCTGGAAGGAGCAAGGTTGGGGAAAGCTGGTGTAGAGCGTCAGCTGCTGGAAACGTTGGGGACAAAAGGGACTGGAAAGGCCCAGTCGGTGACAATTGCCAGTGCAGCTGTGAGAAAGGGCTCGAACTACAGGGAACAGGAGCAGTCCCTGCACTACTCATGGCAGCTCTCCCAGAGTGCAATTATAAGCACGCTTAGACAGAAAGGTCCGACAGCTCCCAGCATGCCCCAGCCAGCACTGCTGAGGCATGCTGGGAGCTGCAGCCATGCTTTTCTGTCTCAGCACACGTAGCAACTGCTTTTGGAAGCAGGGGCATCATTCAGCTACCATTGGGAGGAGCTCAGTGGATGGAGCCCGCACACGTCACCGAGGGCCTCCGCCTCCCAAGCTGTGCTGCAGCCACGAAAAGGCTGGTGCATTTATGGCTCACCTGAGATGTCACCTGAAGTCTGCAGCCACTCTCTAACCCTAACCATCTCGACCGTGACTCAAAGCCAACTCCTCGGCTTCGGCGTCAGACGGCTTGCGTCCTCCGCTCTCCCACTGCTCCCCAGCCCCCAAACCAGCTTAGCATAACGTTTCCCCTCAGGAGCAGCGCTGGTGAACCAGAACACCTGCCTGCTATCGCTGCTTTTTGAATGCCATTCTGGCGTGCCTGTTTACCTGTGGGGCCATGGAACAGGAGCTGCACAGGCCCTTTCCTTCACACCTGCCATGCAGCTCTGCAACCTGCTGTGGCTTGTGGGTTTGGACAACCAGACAGCCCACTGAGGGTACAAACAGCCTTAGAACCACCCTCGTTCTCTGTGTGCCTTGCCTGGGAAAAATGCTCTCCGGCAGCCCACCACGGCCACCTGTGGCACCCCCGCCACCGTGCAGACCCAACCCGCCACTTCGGCATGTAGCGCACTGTGGTTTCGCCATCGCCGCCTCATTCAAAGCATCACACGCCTTTGCGAGGTGCGCGGTCACCGTACCTCCCTCTCTCGTTCCGTTTTTGTCAGCCTCATCTGCCGCAACATCTGGGACCTCTGCTCCATCATTAGAGTCCGCTCATAGGTGTACGCCGAAATGTCGCTGTTTTGCTAGAGAAAATGAGGCAGATGGACAGGCAGCTTTTAAAGCTGCACAAAGACCCACACCAAGTGCTCCAAACCAGCCTTCCTCATCCCAATGCCTTCTAGGTGTACTGAACTACAGGCCCCACCCTGCTGGCTGGGGATGATAGGAATGGCGGCTGAGCAAAAGGCCGCTGTCTAGCCCAGAGCAAAATTCAGCCCTGTTACCATCTCCACGACCTCCACTTCAGCCTCTATTCGGAGGTGGTAGAGGAAGGTTGCCAAGTCTTTCTTCATTTGGATGCTGTTGTCATCAATCTGGGCTACAGTGAAAATCCGCATCTTGCACTTTCGCCAAACCTGCAGAGGAGAACGTAGGTTTACCTTCTCAAAGGTCTCCAGGTTCTCTGCAGAGCCTGGAGAACTTGGCAGGTCAGGGGCTGGAAGTCCCTGAGTGTGGGGGGTGGGAATCGAATGAAGAAGGAGGTGTCTGTCTTGCTACATATGGTCAAATGTCGCTTGCCTGTCACCTGCACCTGACAATTTTGGTGCTCAATGTTAACTTTAAAAACATTCCCCAGACCTCCCACAGTAGCCTGGCCCCATGGCAGGAGCTCCAAGTCACCACCATCTTCTCTACATTTTAACTTTCATGCATATAAGTCACACACACTTATATATTTTGCACGGCTGGATCGACACTGTGTGCCTACGCACGGAGGAGGGTGAGGTTACGTGACACTTGGTAAACGTCAGCACTGGCTTGCGAGCTGGACGTGTGAATCACACTCCATTCGCCTTCAGTTTGCACATCTCCCTCCGTTCTGCGTGCAGCTGGTCCTCGTAGACGAGGAAGATCGGCCTGGGCAGCACCGCCGCCTCCGCAGCCCAACACTTCAGCAACAGGAAGCTGAGGTACGAGTATTTATTGCTGAACATCCTGTTTCATACCAGCGCGGCCTCTCGGAGCAATCCTTGCTGATGAACTGCCTGCCACTGAGCACTGCCTGGTTTCCATTATCTTTTATTGAGGTTTTTTCTATTGTTTTAGAATGAGTACTGTTGTTTTTAAGCTTGTGGACTGCCTCAAACTCTCTCAGGCAGAGCCAGTCAAGAAATACCCCCTAATGCCCTGGATTAATGCATGCAAGCCAGCAGGAACGCCACACACTCCCGGCCCTCTTACTTTGTGCTGCTTGAGTAGAAAGGGGAGCAGCATCAACATGCCTCCGTCGTGCACGATCCACCAGACGTCGATGCTCCCCTCGTTGTAGCGCTCGTGATTGCCGGGGTAGAAGGACACGTTTTTAGGCACCAGCAGTGCAAGGTGGGCTGCCGTCGTGCAACGCACGGTGTCTGGAGAGAAAAAGGAGGTGTCGTGCTGTACTCCGCAGAGCTAATTATGGCTGGTCGCATGGCTTCGTGATGGAAATGGCCCACAGTACCATTTGGTAGAGGGCACCTGAGCAAGACCATCAAGGGCTGGAGGGGAGAGACTCCCACAAGGAAGTTACCAGCTTTGGAATCTTCCCGAAATAGCTCCATGCATGTGCACCGAGGCCACACGTGCGATGCACAGAGACCACGAGAGTGTGGAAGAGGCTGCACACAGCAACAAAGAGCCAAGCAGAAAAGGGAAGAATTAGCATTGGTATCAGATTACTCCCTGCAGTCCCGCATGCCAGGAGTGTTTAACAGAAGCGATCAAAAGAATATTCCAGTAACACCGGGAAATATTCCAGTCTGAAATGGTGATGAGATGGTGCTAATCAACACAAAAAATGCTGTGATAAGATGGAAAATCTGATTCAGAATAAGGAAGCAGCCCGTAATCTCGCGGCTGTACTTAAGAATCTTGCCTATGCGCCACTGCATCTTCCACGAAAAGGGGTAAATGCATGAAAGGAAGCCTGGCCTCGCCCCCGCTGTAAGGTTTAATTGAATGCATGTAGTGTCCCAAGAGTGCCTTTACATGTGGTTCCGTGCTCCTGGCAGAACCAGGACACCGGGCACAGTGACGGGAAGTGAAGCATGGGTGCATGCCCCACTAAGTTTTCAGAGTGAAGTACCAGAGTATGATGCTAGCGGGCAGCTTTGAAACACATCTGATCAATAAATGTGAATGAATAAGCTGCTTTTTGATGCTGCAGAGGAAAACGGGCGAGACAGGCCAGGTCGCTGCTTCTGGCAGCAGCCTGTGTTTCTGCAACGCCTTGCGCCCGGCTTCCCTCTCATGCCTGACTTGCCTATAAAGGTCTTCCAGGCCCGGGGGTCTTCACTCTGTCTCCAGCCATATGGCCAGCCCAAGACCACCGTGTTGTGCTTCATGCCGCCCAGGCCGCATGACTGTATCAAGTGAGCAATGCCGTCGCGGACTTTATTTGCCACGACTACTTGACAAAATCCTTTCACCTTCTCGATTTCGATCATGTTCTTGATGGTCTGCAAGATAAACAATGAGACGTCAACCCTCATAGGCCGATAAAATGGCACATGCACACCCAACAGGCAGAGATGGAAGTTCCCCACCTGCAAACTTTGGTTTTGCTTGGTTCCCAGAGATTCCCAGCAACTGGATTCTGAAACGTTGCCTTCTATTTTTGTAGTAATATCTTAGTTGGAGGGGACGAGTAAGAAATCGAGAATAAAGGCAGCAACATGGAGAAAAAGCAACCCTTTGGGCTGGGTTTGTAACGTTAATGGAGAGTGTTTTCTCTGCCACCATAACTTGAAGTGAGAAGAGCTTTTGAGATCCGTATGTGAATGCCAAGTTTAGGGCATGATTCTTAATAGACCTATGCCAGCGGTTCCCAGACTTTTTTTGGTCATGAAGCCTTTCTGAAGCCATTTTTTTCCTGTGGACCCTAACTCTGCTCCTGATTTTTACTAAGCACGGTGATCTCACAATGGTCGTCCTCCTTTCATCTGCTCCTATTTTCTGAGTGCTTTGCATCATTTGGAAATAAACATAACAAATGAATAAAGTGATTATATGGCAATATACAAATGAATTCTTCCAGTTATTCCTACCACTGCACAATAGAGTCCTAGGAACCAAATGACATGATGCATTTCCTCGTTTGCTACTTGGACGCCAATGGACAACCAAATAGTTGGCCTTGTGTGGTTTCATTTTAAAATCTGTTTTAAATTTGATTTGTGAGATGGTTCGCGGACCCCTGTGAGGCTTTTGTGGAACCCAGTTTCTGCAGAACACCGTTTGGGAACCCCCGATCTACGCAAATAATGCAGAGACCACAAAGAAGAACGACATGCTGGAAAAGCGACCTTGCAGTCAGCTGAAAGGCTGGGCCTCCACCAGCGCAACTGGCAGGCTGGGCTCATCCTCGCTCCCCGCACGCCCTGCCCTGCCCACCTGCTCAGCAGCCTGGGCTTCTCCGTAGCTCTCCAGGAAGTTGCCTTGTATCACCGTCCCAATGATGGTCAGCCCCTTGCCTGCCTTCAGCTGGGAAGCAAAGGTGAGCAGCCGGGGGTACTTCACATGCAGATCTTCGTCCAGCTTCAGAAGCACCAGCAGCTGGGGCCTGAAGGGAGAGAACAAGAAGTGGCCCGGGATGCTGGGTGTGCTTCCTGTGCGAAGCAGCGGAATGTCAAGCGGCTTGAAGGCTTCAGACTCCATGGTGGTTTGGAGCCCTGGGGGAGCAGGGGGCCCTTTTATGCGTTCAAACGGCTTCTTTGGGAGCTTGGCTCCTCGAGAGGCAGGGCACCCAGGCAGCAGGCGGGGTGGAGGTTTTGTTTCTGCATCCCAAAAACTTGCGAGGGAAATGCACGTGAGGGGGTGGGCCCAGCTAATCAGCATCATTTCTTGTCAGAAATGAAAGAAACACATGCGCATCTTGGCTGAATGGACTCAGGGCAGTGTCCTCCCTATTCATATTCCTAGGAGCTTCAGGTCTCCGCAGGGAGATGTTCCCTGAGCTCAGGAAAACACACCTCACTGTGCTATGTAACACACCCGGTCCCCAGATTAAGAACAAGTCCCGTTCCTGACATGGCCTTTAAGTGAAATTGGCATGCAAGTTGGATCACGTATACAAAAGGCATAACAAACACGTAAGAAGCACTTCCATATACACTAAAACATCCTAAACACAATACAGATTTTAATACTAATAATAATACCATAATAATAAAGTAACTACAGGTACTGGGTGGGGGGGGGTGGAATCTGTATTATGTACATAGGTATGCGGTACTGTTCTTAACCCAGTTTAGACAGAAAGACAGAGAAAACAGTAAAACATTACTGAAGGTTAACACTTCTTGAGCTAACATGGAGCTGGATGATGATGGAGATGGACTGGTGCTGGAGAATCAGGGTTTGATCATGCTGCTGGAGGGGTCCTGGAATCGCTTTCTAGTTCTGAGTTTGCCACTCACCACTTCCCCTCCCCTCCCCTCCCCTCTGACACGGTGCTCAGCACTCACCCCCCACAGGTGCCCACTCGCCCCTTGAAGACAAGGCAGGACTTCCGGTCTTCCTGGGTTTCTTAACCAGGCCTCCTTCTTAGCTGGGATGCTCGTAAGTGGGGACTGGGTCACATGGAGAACGGTGGATGAGGGAAAATGGGTCTGCAGGCTCAGCTGACTACGGCTTGGGAAGGCCCCGCAGATACTCAGTGGGGGGTTGTGAGGCAGGGAAGCGGCTGGTCCACAGGCCTGGGCCACGCTGGGGAGCCTAAGGACCCATGGTCAGCTCCCAGGGCCATGTAAAAGAGGGCAGAATTAAGAGCAGAACCAGTCTTTGCTGAGCACTCAGTTGGCGAGGAGGCGGCAGCCAGGAGCTACTCCTTCAAAATGCCTTCACGGTCAACTTCCCGGGCCTCTTTCTACCTTGAGAAAGATTCTCAACAGAAGAGCGTCTCCCTTTCCTACTTTTAAAGCACCACAATGCTCCTGAGTGACCACCTTACAACTCTAGTGCTCCTTTGACTTCTCTGTGCTAGCACAGCGCCTGCAGAAAACAAGCCTTCATTGTATCAGTTACAGCAACTGTCGGTCACCTCCAGTTCTTGGTGTGTGGGGGCCCTTCCTCCAGTCTCAGCAAGGCATATCGGGCGGCACTCAAGGAAAGACCGCGGATCCCATCACCCCATTCCTTCTCTGCCCTGGAAAGCAGAATGTCATCATGGAGCCAGGTAGGACACATTTAGATGGAGAACTGGAAGCTTCATGATCTGAACGGGCTTCCGGGACATGGACATTCCATCGACTGTATATCCCACACTTCCTCGGGGAGAGACACTGTAAAGGTCCCCGAGGTTTTCCCCATTCAAACAGCAGCCACTTCCAGACTTATTTAGTGTCAACCGCAGCATTAATGGTAACAGGCATTTCTAGATGATGCAATTGGGCCAATGTGTTTCTGAAGTCAACACCTGCAGCAAAATTAAGCTTAAATGCACAGAGTGAAAAGGGACCTCAGAAGGAAAATGGCCCAACCCTTTGCCAAGGCAGAAAATCTGTTCTAAAGCAACCCTGGTGGGTGGATGGAAGAGTTCTGCTCTTGAACTACTTGTACTGCCAGGATAGTCTTCCAGTGTTCAACCAAAACCCCTTTTCTTTTAATTTGCATTCTGGAGCAAGAGGAAATGAATTTGCTTAGTCATTTGCACCTTAGCCCTTCCAAGATTTGAAGATGGCTATCACGCTACCTCTTTCTCCAAACCTCTGTGGGAAGACCCTGTTCTGAACTCCCCAGGGATGTGAGCCAAAGCGACACCTTCCACACCCCGCTCCCTGCCGTACCCTCAAGTTTTAATCAGAAGTGACTTACCCCTGGTATTCGATGTACTTATAAATCATGCCTGCAATGAACATTGCCACTAAAGCATAATACCAGGAGGAGATGAACATCAAGGCAAGGCAGATGCTCATTCCTAAAAATGACAAGGCCCTGAAGGAAACAAAGCAGAAAAGCGACTGCAGACGCAGGCCTGGATTCATGCACACACGATAACATTCCTTGGTGTCTTAGGACTTAAATGGCTGGCGGCTGGATGCACGGACAGATTCCATCTGGAAGCCTTTTGCCTGGGGGGTGCATACACCTCGTCTGCAAGAGCCCAGTCACGCAGGATGCTATGGACACACCTGTGGAGGCTGAACACCCATTCTCCTTACACCTGTAGCCTTCCACACAACACAGATTCTCAAGGGCCTCTGACCACTGGGCGACAAGTGGTCGCGTGAACAAGGCTGGCCACATTTCCGTCCTCACACAGTGTGGGTGCACAAATGCTCTGAACTACTGCAAGGAGAGAGAGGCCCTGGCATCCCACCTCCTCCGGGATGCTTGAGCGGAATCGCTGGAATGGCAGAGGGCAATGCTTCCCCATTAAGTCTAGCAATTGTGACCCAGATGGGTGGGAGGAGGGACAGCCTTAAGCAGTGATGTGTGAGCCATTTGGTTTGAGGATGGGAATTCCCAGGCTCAGCTCCCTGGATGCGGGCCCACCTTTTCTCTGCCCGAAACCTGCCTTGAGCTCGGCGCTTCACATGAGTGTCTGGCAGCCAAGTGAGTCCAGCCCCCTCACACACCACACAGGTGGCTGCTGCACAGTGGGCTCCTGCTCTTGCACTTGTGACTCCGACGCCTTGCAGGCTTCGCAGAGTTCTTGTGAGGAAAGGGTCCACCAGCACTCCTGCGCATTTGGACTCGTTTCCTTGCAGGACCCAGCATGGCACCAGAGAACCACATTCCAGCTGCCTCTTCCCATCCCTAATGTCCTGCTGGTTCGGGGAAAAGGGTCTTCTCTGCCCAGCCCCCTTCCCAGCACCATCAAGTTCTCTCCATTGAGCCAACAGGACTCTGAACTACACAGGGGAAAAAGACAAGTGGAAATGTCTCTGTGCTACTTGCATGCTGCTTCTCTGAGAGCCAAATCTTGCTGGAGAAGAGGGTGGTTGGACTGTCCACCCCACAAGTCCTCACCTCCAGCAGCAGCAGCGGCATGGGGAAATTCAGGAAAGTGCTGCGCCCAAGGGCTCTGGCACCCCACGCACTGTTTTGGGAAGCCTTCTCGTGTATTTATTTTCTAAAACTCACCAGTGGTAGTACTTAAATCTGGGCCGCCAGTTTGGAGTCCTCAAGAGCGTTTGCACTGCGCAGGCCAAGTTGACGAACAGGTAGCACATCAAGAAAAACCTGGTCACCAAGGAATAGGGAGGAGAGAGACACTTCATCCCAGGTTGGCGCCCATGTGGATCAGTGGCAGAGCACACAGAGATCAAAGCACAAATTGCAAGGTCAACACAGGAAAACTAGCACCGGGAAATGGCTAGTGACAGGGATTTAAAGGGATTCGGGATGGGAGAAGGGCAGCCCCCACTCCTGCAAGGCCTCCTCAAGCTGCAATTTGCAAGACTCTCTGGGGAGGGGAGGGAGGTGTGAAACTTGGTGAGACAAACTGGCAGAAATCTGCAGGACAAAGACACTGCAGGGTTTGGACGCGGGACTCTCCAAGTTCAAATCTCCTTGCGACAGTGTCTTCCCGGCAGCTTGGGAGAAGTTTCTCCGTCTCTCTTGCATGCGCATGCGTGTGCGCACACAGAGCAAGGCTGATGTGATGCTTTGCACACCTTGGAAGAAGAGAACGCCGCACAGGAAAGGGAACTAGCAATGGGCCAGCTGAGAGCCTGCCTGGACAGAAATCGCCAGGTCCATCTGTGCTCTAGCGAACTCCCAGCTGGGATACGACCAAGCTGGGGCTGCCCTTGGGGATGGTTCAGCGTTTCCCATTAGTTCAAGACAGGACTGCTATGGCAGTGAATACTGGCTTGGCCAGGGGCACTGGCTTCCAGTCCATTTCCAAATCCAAGTGTTGGGGCTGACCTTTAAAGCAACACTTCCCGTGTGCACCCTTGAGCCACCTTCAGGTTCCCTCTTCTGGGCATCTGCACCAAAGGAAGCCTGGACTGGACAGATGGCTCAGGAGAGGCCTCCTCAGCTGGGCAACCCACTTATGGAATGGACTAACCAACGACGCTTGCATGGTTAATGTCTTTCCAGGGCCTGCCAAACATCCTTTTGCTTCTCAGGTATTTCAGTGACCCAGTTCTAGCTTTCTGTGGCTACTTTACTGATTCCTGCCCTGTTTGCTGTTTTGAAGTGTGCTTTGTTCTATTATTTTAAATATTTTAAAATGTGATGTAGTTTTAATGACCAAGGGCACATGTCACGAATTAGAAATCCCCCCGTTAAAAAACCAGGATTGCTATGAGCTGATGGGGTGGCCACTCGCTGCCTCCCCTCCCCTCCCACCTGCAGTCCCTCCCTCCCTCCCCCCCATCCTACGGACGGCTTAGCAATCGCCTTTATGAATGGATGGGGAAGGCGCATGTCCAAGTCACGGTGCCCACTCTGGAAAGAGCGATGCACGGATTAGCTGGTGTTGGAGCAGCAGGAGGGAGGAGGTGAGGTGGCCCTCTCCCGATCGCTCCTGGGTGCTGATGATCACGAGCCGGGCGCCCCCGCAAACCATCCTCTCCTCCTGTCTGATGGCTGCCCTGGGGGGGCTGAGAGAGCCCCCGTCTCTGCCTGCCTGAGCCCACGAACATCAGGGAATCGCCCGAAAGCTTGCCAGCCTCCATGCGTCGCTAAATGGGGTGTCGCTTCATGGGTCACGAACGCTGCCGGCCTGGCCTTGAGGCTCAGTGCTGCTCGCTCTGCCAGGCTGCCATGCAGGCTTCCAAGCCTGGAACGGGGCAGAATCTCGGGCCCAAGAGGCACCGCCTGCCCACCTGTGCACTGGCCTGAGCAACCCGAGGCCACGTGCGAGTCCAGGCTCAGCAATGGCACTGGCCGTCTTCTGCCTGCGAGTGCAGCCGAGACCTTCTGTTTGCCTACCGCTAGGAGGTGCTGACAGCTTGCATCCCAGCCAAGCTCAGAAGATGCCCCGCGCCACCCGCTTGGGTACCAACCACGTGTAGTTTTCAAGTTGTGACTGCAGAAACCTGAAGCCCCTCACAACTTTACTAGGGGACCTGCTCAATGAGAACCAGGCAGGTCTCCCACCAAGAAGCTAGTCTGTCCTGAGTGATCTTCTTCACTATCACAGGATGGGGGTCACTCTAGGAGCACAAGGCCATTTCCCAGGAGCCTTTGCCACATACGGGGTTTCCTCAGCAAGCGAATCCCATTTCCCCCTCCCAGTGGGAGCTGTGGGGAAGGGTGCCTCAGCTATCTCAGGGGGTGAAGCAAGTTTCAGGGCACGGATTTCACCAGGGCTCTGCTGGCACCTTCTGTGACAGCTGCCATCTTTAATTCCCCAGAATGCTCCCAGAACGGTGCCACGTCACAGGGTGGGGTCATTCCAACTCCCAACCACCCTGTGCGGAAAAAGAGGTGGGGCTGTTGAATCTTATTTTGGGTGGACCCAGAGAGACTGGATCTGGGCCAGACTTCCAACTCCAGAGGAAAGGGCTCATGGGCGCTGAATGAGCACGTGCTTTGATCCAAGGCGGCCGATCCGAAACCTGCCCTTGCTACGACACTGAACACTCACATCGAGAGGATCGGGGCCACCATGTCAAGGGAGGCGATGAGGATGCCGAGCTCGGCAATCAGCGTGGTCAGCAGGAGGGCCCATGTCGGCTCACCGTTCGCCTTCCCGTGGCCAAACACCTTGAAAAGGAGGTGGAAAAGAGAATGAGCTTGCCTTGCACCACAGCAGAGTTAACCACGGGGCCCGGGTGCAGCCGAAAGCCGCCCCCCCGGGCTTCGTGCCGCGGTCCCCACCATGCTGCACATCGCCCTGAAGAGCCCTGCCGCCGCATGCTGCTTCCCCGTCCCCTCCAGGGTCTGTCCTCTGGCCGCTTGACAACATGGGCCTACGGACTTTCGGGATGTGCTGCAGCTGCCGGGTTAGTCCGCTGCGTGTGCAAAACCGTTTCTGCTCTCTTCCACCGAGAATGACATCTGTGCCTTCTTCACTTTCGGCCCCCGGGTTCCTGCCCAGCTTATGAAAATCTCTCCCAGGCTCAGTTTCAGAAGTTATTCTCCTAACGCAGGTTAGCATATACTGAATGAGAGTGAGAATGAGGCAAGTGAAGGCTCCTGTCTTAAGCATGTGCTTTTGCTATAAATCTGGGGATGGGGGCCGCGTGGGGCTGAGGCATCCCGTGCGCCCTCCATGTTGGTTTGGGCAGGACCTTTCTGGTGGTGGTGCTCCAGTCGTGCAATTCTGCACTAGAACACGCCAGCTGCTTGTACTTTCTTGGCCCGCAGGGCTGTGTGAAAAAGACTCTCTCCTCACAGGCAATTCCTTTCAATCTACTTTACGGTTTTATCTATTCGTGTTGCTCATTCTCATCCTTATTTTGAGTTGCCCATTAGCCCCCACTGGTACAGCCAGCTCCCATGGATAATGGGGTTTGTAGTCCAACAACTTCTGGCTGCCTTGCTTAACATACAGCACCTACTTCTTGGTCAACAGGATCCTCGGCTATCTGCGTTGTACGCGTAAGACAGAAAGTGGGAGGACTGTTTGCTTCCGTTCTTGTGCAAGCAAGCACAGCTGTGTCAGCCCACGAGAGTGCCAGCATCCCTTCCCACCACAGTGTCTTTGTGGTGAGCCAACGGCAAGGTCCTAAAGCACCGTGTAAGCTGCCGAGTTCTTCTGATTGGTTCCCTAGGCAAAAGGGGGAGGGAGGAGGGAGGAACCAGCAGCCGAGGTCGAAGCCTTTGGCCTGCGTGTGGTCACAGCCTTGCAGCGGAAAAGGGGCTCCATCGGAGACGGAGCTTGCCCTGCTGCACTCACTTGGCCAATTTGCTGTCTCTGAGGGGACACAGGGCAGGCCCACAGCTCTGCCCCTCAAGAGCAGAACTCTGCAGGAGGCACAGACTTAGAGGGCGGCTGCCGCAGCCCCCAACATCTGCCTGCTGCCCGTGGCGGTGACTTCACTCTGCCTCATGGTGAAGTCGCCCTGCAAATACAGCTGGGGACTATTCACTTGGATAAAATGGCACGAGAGGGGAACTGAAAAGCTGCTGGAATACAACTCCCATCACAATGTGAATGTGCAGGCTTACGAGCTACCAATTTAACATGGGCTTGGGAGTGCAGAATTCTAACATGGCAGACTGCTTAGCTGCCCGAACCAGAGCTGCCTGCCCTTGTCTGGCGACAGCATCCCCATCTGCAGCTCCCTGTCCCACTAGCTGGGCATGCCAAGGGCCGAGCCCAGGTGTGCACGCAGCCACCAAACGGCGCCCCCTTCCCGGGCTGCCCACTGGCCCCTCTCTTAGCATGGTGGGCTCCCCAACGTCTAAAGAATCCCTTCCTGAACAGAAATGGAAGCTAGAACCCTCATGGGTCCATCCCCCTTTTTGGCTGGGAAATGTTCGGATCCAAGCGGCAGAAACCCCTCCCTGTCTGCTGCAACCCTCGGATGGAAGGAAGCCGCCCACTGGGTACCGACCCGCAGGAAGGGGATGATGTTGTCCTTGGCAATCGCCTGCAGCAGCCGTGGGGCACCCGTGAGGCTCTGCAGACCTGCCCCACATGTAGAGAAGAAGGAGCCTATCACGATGACCCACGGCGAGGGCCAGGCCAGGGTGCCAACCACCAGGTTCTTGTTCACCGCGTCGCCGTATCTGCAGGAAGGATCAGGTGAAGGTACTTTAAAAGATGACTTGGATTCCATTTACTGGTTATACCACTAGACAATTTTCCCTAATAAAGCTCAAGACGGCTTTTCTAAAATGTGTTACTGCTCATGCAAAGGATTCCATACGCATTCAAAGGTCCTGTAATCCAATAAAAATATAGCAATTAAATTGGGGTGGGATTTTTTAGATTTAAATTTACTATTTTGAATTGGCGTACAGAATCCCTTTCAGCCTGAAAGCTGACTTCCATTTCAGAAAAGTGTTGGGGACTCCATCTGGCTGGAGGACACAGCTGGACGCCCAGTGGAGCGGGACCAAAGGCAACCGGAGCAGAACCAGTGTAACGCTCGTAACTGAGGTTGCAAGTTGGTTTGGGGCATGCTAGGAAATTCGGGCCTTTTTTCTGTCTAAATATGCACAGGATTGTACCTTTTCTTCCAGGCTTTAGTTGGATGGAAGAGGGGTTTCAGCCCTGTAGGACACTTTGGTAGCTTCCCGGGCCGTTCAGACCAAGCCTAAAGTGCCCTGAGACCCTGGGAGGGCCAGATCTGGCATACTGAGGCGCTGCACCCTGTGCTAAACAGCTGGGTCTACCAGCAAGGGGTCTTTTAAGTGGAGGGCTGGCAGAGTCCACCAGGGGCCCTGCATCTCTGGATATTCCTCGTCAACAGGGGACAGCACCAGATGAGCCACCAAGCCCCATCTGGTCTAGGAGCGCATGCGCGCGCGCACACACACACACGGAACTTCAGCCATGCCCCTATTCTTTCCGCGTTTAAGCAACTGAAATGTAGTGAAGCAATGTACTCTAACCCAAAACAACTGACCACCGTTCGTGCAGCATTAGTTTGCATAGATTTAAAAAAATCATTACAATGCAGTAACAAATAATTATACACACAAGCACACACAGACAGATTTTGAAATGAGAAAAGCTGCACTTTTGTGTTTTGTAGACCTGAAGTTAAATAACTGGAGCATCCAATGAAGAGACCAAAGGAAAACCACCAGGGTGCTGAACAATATGGAAATACAAAATATGAAAGAAGGATTTGCTCATCCAAGATGCTTCTATTTATAATATATGGAAATCCATGTGCACATACGCAGTTTTGAATTTAACTGTAGCCAGTTGAACACAGAAATACTTTTCTATCTCAAAACTTCTGTTATATTTTGATTACAGATGCTCTGGAACCCTTTCTAAGTCAGCGCAGTGTAGAAATAACGATGTTGGCCTAGGACTGGGAGACACGGGTTCAAATTCCTGCAAACTCAAGAGCCTCCTTTGTACCCTTGACAACCTACTAACTCTCAGCCTTAACCTTCCTCACAGGGTTGTTGGGAAGATAACGGGACATTTGCTAGGAGGTTCATAAACCGTGGTTCAGCTTGAACCCTGGGCCAGCAATGAACTGCAAGAATTATCACTGCGTATACATAAAACAGCTCAGGACGGCGGCAGCTGCATATGGTGTCCTGGTCTCTTTGGTAGGCTAGGCTTTCAGCGTCATGCCATAAAATAAAACAGTCACTCAAGCAGAGAACGGAAACAAGAATTAGTCATCGCCACAGAGAGCGAAACCTTATTTGGCTGGGGGTAACCACGGAAGCAGCTTGGCACATCTTCTGTACTCTCAAGTTTGCACCAAGACCAGCTGAATTTTGCAACTTGTGTGCACTGCACGGCAAAAACATCTGCGGGCTGTCAGATCAATACATTATGAAGCTTCTGAACAATTTAGACTTTCCGAGTTAAGAAGCACGGCACTGCACTTGACTGCAGAGCTCTGGGGCACAGGCCTGTGGGTGTTTGATGCAGAAATGGTGCCGCCGCCACCATCGCAGTGATGCTTGTGGCACCATGCCTGGAGAAGGCTTCCCCCAACCCCCAACCTTGAGATGTTTTGGAATACAAATCCCATCAGACCCAGCAGCACGCCCATGGCCAGCAGTCCTGCAAGGTGTAGTCCAAAATATCTAGAGCCGCCTTCCCCAAGCTTGTGTCTTCCAGATATGTTTGGACGGCAACACCCAGAATTCCCAGTCAATGGCTGGATGGGAATTCTGGGAGTTGTGGTCCAAATGCCTCTGAAGGCTGCCAGGTTGGGGAAGGCTGGGCTAGAGGGACGCAGACCAGAACAGAAAGTCGGGTTCAAATGCCTGCTTCCTGATGAAGGCAACAGGGGGATCACTTGTTTAGAAAGGACAGGAAGGGAAAGAGAGGTGGGGGCGTAGCTTTATATGTCAGGGAAGGGATAGGATGCAGCGAGATAGAAAGCAGCACAGATGGGGATTCGGTAGAGGCAGTCTGGGTGAAACTTAGGGGTTTTGACAGGGAGAGGGACCTGACAGTGGGGGCATGTTATCGCCCTCCAGGTCAGCTTGAGACCCTGGATGATGTCCTGACAGGCCAGATTCTAAGCATATCTTGGGGGAGGGACACAGGAATTATGGGTGTCCTAAGTACAGGTTAGGGGACAAGTGGCTGGAGAGCAGCACTTGTGAAAGGGACCTCGGGGTGCTGGTTGACTGCAGGCTAAACATGAGTCAGCCGTGTGATGCAGCGGTCAAGAGGGCGAACGCCACCCTTGGTTGCATAGCCAGAAGTGTGGTTTCTAGATCAAGAGAGGTATTACTACCACTCTATACGACTCTGGTGCACCCGCAACTGGAGTATTGTGCTCAGTTTTGGGCCCCTCATTACAGGAAGGATATAGCCAGGTTAGAGTCAGTGCAGCATAGGGCCACAAGGTTGGTGGCCGGTTTGCAGGGGATGCTGTATGAGGTGAGACTGAGGGAAATGGGCTTTTTCAAGCTGGAGGAGAGGAGATTCCAAGGGGATCTGTTGGCAACATACAGGCATGTGAGGGGGTGTCATACGGAGGTGGGTAGAGACCTCTTCTTCCCTGTGGAGGAGGGCAGGATGTGTTCCAATGGATCGAAGTTCAGGGAACAAAGGTTCCATTTGGATGCCAGGAAGCACTTCCTGACAGTCAGGACCCCGAGGGTGTGGAATGGGCTTCCATGGGAGGTCGTTGAGGCCCCATCTGTGAGGGTGTTCAAGGATAGGCTAGATATGCACATGGCAGGCAGATCATGAATGAAGCCAGCTAGAGCCGGGGGTCAGACTAGATGGCCCAGGAGACCCCTTCTGACTTTCTTTGTTGATCCCCCAAGAGCAAGTCCCCCCTGCCTACACAGAAACCAAGTAGAAAAGTGATGCTTACTTACTTATCTCTAAGCACAACCCCTTCAATGCAAGCGCCAAACAGGATCACACAGCTGAAATCTGCAGATCCGCTTAAGGAAGCTCGATTTCTGACAGTGCCCGCAAGACACAACGCAACACATTTCCATGGCTGGCAACTTTCCATTAAGAAAATCCCACTGCATCCTGTAGTCAGGGAGGCGGTCCAAGCTGCCAACCAAATAATTTGCACAGAAAAATGCCACAGTTCAAGGGGGCTGCAAAGGTTTTGGATCTCGGAATTCTGCAGCAAGACCTTCGGGGTCCATTTCTGTGGCCCCTTTGCTAAGGGGCCCCTGGAGATGACAGGAAAAGTTAGCTTTTCCTGGTCACTCCCATGTGCCTCCTTCCTACCTTGACAGCTCAAAATTAGCGAGCGTAATCGCAAGAACAAAGAGGCAGACATTGCAAATGATGTCAGGATAAAAGATGCCACAGAAAATATCCAAGGGCAGCCGGCAGGAATTGCTCAGATTGATTACTCTTGCTATAACAAGGGCTTTGCACGCATCTCTGATTTTGCTGGGTGCTCTGCATGCAGTTTATCTGCCTAAACATGAAGCTCTCCCTGTGTGTGGTTTTAATAACTTCCACTGTGTATTTGTAGCAGCAAAATTGGATTTAAAGCAGGATGGACTGCAGCCCTGGGCTATGGCCAGTGATTCTAGGATCAATTATTTGAATCACCCCAGATCTAAGCTGGGTCTTTTGCCTCCCGTGTTCACAAAGGACCCCCAACCCAAGTCGAAGGTGAAGTATTAGAGAAGGCTGTACTGATGCAGCTCATTCTTCACAAATGAAAGGCCCCAGTTTTGCTCCCCGGTTAGAGGCAAGAGGGTTCAAGGCAGCAATGAACCACCGCCAGGTGGACAGATGCTCGCAAGCGGAATAAAGGACTTCCAGTGCACCAGAATCCTGGTTGTTGTAGTTTTTGAAAGATACAGACAAGAGAAGTGGTGACGATCGCAAGGATGGTTCCAAAGGGAATAGACTTCTGGGCGTCTTTGAGATCTCCAGATCGGTTTGAGCCTGCCATGATCCCTTAAGCAGAAAGCAAAAAGGTTAGCTGTGAAAAATACTTCTCAACAAGCCAAGCGAGATAAGGTACTTCCATGTTCTCACCTGTCACTGAAGGGAAGAAGATGCCAATAAGCACCATGAAGGAGGTTGCAATGTCTGCGTAAACGTAAAGGTGAAGGTTGTTTTTGTGCCCGGCCGCTTCAACCGAAGGGCGACCAGCTTTCTCCAGGATCTCTCCTTTCTCCATGTAATTGCTCCAGATATTATCTGGGGAGAGCCATGAGAAGCATGGAGGAAATGCAGGGGAGAGTGAATGACGCATCTGCCTGCTATCCTCGCTGGACACAAGAGAATGTTTATGTGCGGTGAGTCAGCAAGCCCAAGCAAGCTTGCTCTAGATTTACTACTGCGTACAAGTCAATCGATTCTTTAATAAGCAGACAGATCTGTATCTAGGATGTGCATGGATTGCTTTAAAATAATCAAAAAATTCTGCCACAAATTCTGCAACAAGAACAGCTGGATTCTGCAACCTGAATACATGTTCTTGAGCTGCAAACTGAAAGAGAAGTGGATGAAACCAACATGCTCACTCAGATTCGTAAACTACTCGCGGCAAACAGGCCAGGAAAAGCCTTCTGTATGCAAAGCCTTCATTCTGCACAAACATATGGCAGGCCCTTAAAGGGAAACAAGTTTCCCAGTCCTCATGGTACTCAGGAAAGGGCTGACTGAACAGGCAGAGGCGCAAAGCTGAGACAACTCCTGGTCCCCCTAAATTAGCCAACTGCCTTTCCAGAGTGACGGACGAGGCTCCTTCCCACTCTGCTCTGGAGGTGCCCAAAGACTGAACCTTGCAACTTGGGCGGGCGTGCAAAGTACACGTTCGGCCAGAATGCTGCCCCTTCCCCCACGATGTAGAAAAACGCGCTCTGCAGCTTTTGACAATACCTTTCAAAATTCCACTTGCAGCTCCGGGAATTCCTGGAATCTCAGTAACATTATTCAGCTCAAAGTACTTATCGCAGTGTCCGGAAGCAGTGCTGTTACCGGGGCAGAAGAGCTTCATCAGGTTGGAGGGCGCCGTATCGTTGCCAACCACTGTCGTCTTGGCACAGACATCAAAGTGGTCCCTTGACAAAGTCCTGTTGCCGAGCACACACACGCTGGGGAGAAAGGAAGCGCGCCAACCTGTTATGCCTTGCATTCTATGGATTTTGAAGCAGAATGCTATCGGCACGCGCACACCCCTGTTGCTTCATCAAAATTTTCCTCCCAAAGCAGCAGAACATGGTTTGCTTCTTCAATGTAGGGATGTAAAGAGGATTTCATGTAGTTTTTCCACAGCAACTTACATTCTCTGGTCTTGGAGAATTCCTATAAGCACAGCAGCTGGCATCCACCCTTGGTGTAATTCTCCATCAATGCACCTCAACCTCTTTGGAGGCCACTGAAGCTGGTGCCCAAGGACACCAGCTACGGGTCTGCCGGGTTCCCTGAGCCCATCCCGCTCTTAAGGGCCACAGAACAAGACCTTCTCAGGGGGCCGTTCTGCCAGAGCCTGCCTGTTGGGCAACCGTGAAAGGGTTTTGTCCTGTGTTGCCCGCCGACTGTGGATTGTACACCCTCGAGAACTACGACCAGCCTCCAATCGCTTGGACTTGAGGAAGGATGTGAAGACACACCATTGCAATGCATGTGTTTGTTAAATTCATTTGTTAAATTTGGCTGCTTAACATGTATAGTTTAATGTTACTATCCTTAGCATCCTTTTTATTATTTTATGGTGGTTTATTTTTTTAAATACTTTTATTTTATCAATTTATACATTTATAAATAAAAGAATAATTTATTTTATTCTACCTTGTGCACCACACTGATGGCTTTTAGCAGATGAGGTGATTTTTTAAAATTATTATTTTGCCTGCCCTTGTTATGGAACGTAATATGAGTTACATATTAGACGATTCAAGGTCCTTTCAGAAAGCACTCTGGAGTCTCTAGTGACATACACCTATCCTATATGGAACGTCATTTCAAGGTACAGGTCTGCAGTGCATAACCACACACACACCTTGCACCTGTTTGAATTGTTTAAGAGTGCTCATTCTCTTTATTGCACCTCTCCTAAGCAACGGTGCTCAAACCAGAGGCAGTTTCAGCTTCTGCTAAGATGACGCAAACGGTTTGCTTGATGGTACCACATTCCTTTACGCATGATTTTAGCATTCTGAGGCCAAATAGTGGTCCCTCTTTCCAGGGTTGTTAGCAGTGACCTCATTTGCCTGGAATAAGAATGCATTGTTCTTGTTTATATTGTGTTTTACTGCATTTAAGAAAAAATACTTTGTGTTTAATTAATTGTTTTTATACCACCCAGAGAGCTTCAGCTGTTGGGTGGTATAAAAACTAACTGAATAAATATTTTTTTTAAAAAAAATCTAGGCATCTTTATTTATTTATTAGATTTACATCCCACCTTTTTTCCTTAGAACTCAAAATGGCTCACATCCATCTCCTTCTGTGGCTCTCCACTGTATCCCCACAACAACCCTGTGAGGTAGGCTGGGCTGAGAGTCTGACTGGCCCGAGGTCACCCGGTGGGCTCCATGGTTGGGTGGGGACTAGAGCCCAGGCCGCCCAAGTCCCAGACCCACACAGCTAACCACTGCACCATGCTGCCCCATCCCATGTGCTCTTGGGGCAGATGTGTGAGATACTGCCTTCGGAGAGCAGCTTAGGCTGCCGGCTGCAGGCACACGTTTTGCATTCACGCGCGCCCTGCACTCTCTGCTTACAAATGCCCCCATCCCCCGCAGCTGGGTGTGAATAATATTCCTTGCACGCCCCTGTGCGTGTGTCACTGCAGAAACCTGCCGACTGAAGAATTCTCCACGCAGCCCACGGAGGACCCCAGACCGGCAAGCTGCTGCTACAGTAAATCTGCTAGTGCTCCAGCATTTTCTCTCCTGTAGTCTAGAATAATGTCGACGTGGTGACAGCACTGGTTTACTACAGCAAACACAGAAGGAGGCCCTAAGCGACCCTTTTAACACTTAAAAGCACACACAGCAGCACTGAAGTCGTAACAGGAACCACACTGCCCAATATCCCACGTATTTACTAGGGCATGAGTTTCCTGCATGGATAATTCCGTTGCAAAAAGCTTTCCATTGCTCCCCAAGATTTACTTACGGAAAAACAGGTGGATCAAAGATAGATTTGATCGCTCCAGCATAGATGGATAAGATGGATATTATGACGCAGGCCAAGAAGAGCGACGCGAGTTTGTTCACGTATTTCACCCCCACAAAGACCACCACCACCATTAATGTGAGGAATAATGTCCCGTACACTCGCATGTTGTTCAGGGTGGTGCTGGAAGCGTCATGGGCGCCGGTGGGGTGGAAAATGGCCGCTTGGGGAAAGATGTACGTCTGAAACAGTTAGCATATTGCCTTAAGAGTCTACATTAAAAAGCAAGCCGTTTAACAATCGCACTTGCACAAGCATGACGCCAACCTGCATCACGATGCTCCACAGACACCCACGCCCAGGCGCGCGCGCACACGCGCACGCACACAGCTGAAACAACAGGAAGGCTGAACACCGCTCAGTCACACCCCTGCTGCAGCAGCTGCAGGCCAGGCAGGGGCCCGGCTCCGTCCTCAGCGGGTCCTGGGATGTGAGGGCAGAGCGCCCTGGCCCGCCCTCAGCGCCAGCATGGGTCTTGTCGGGCCACCTGCAGCTTTGAAGGGCCTAAAGCAGGTTAAGGCCCCACTCTCCCTTGTTCCACACAACTGCATTGTTCATTTATTGATTGCATTTATCTCTTGCTGTTTTTCTTTTTAAAGACCTCAAGGCAGCTTACACAGTTCTCCTCCTGTTGCTCTCCATCTTATCCCCACAACAACCCTGCGAGGTAGGCTGGGCTGAATGTCTGCGGCTGGCCCAAAGTCACCCATGGGGCTCCATGGCTGACTGGGGACAGAACCCAGGTCGCCCCAGTCCCGGTCCCGCGCTCTTCGTCACTACCCGCCCTGGCTCTCTAGATGCGCCAAACACGTGTATGATGTCTGGGAAGACCCCAAAGCTCCCTTAAAGTCAGGGCAAACCTGCCCCCACCCCAAGGCGCTTTTGGACTCCTCTGAGCCCTACCCGGCATGCTTCCCAGGCAAGGCAACCCAGCAAGCCCTGGGAGAGGACGGGCTGCCCACCTGTACTTTGGGGTGCAATTATTGAATTGTGAGCAAGCCCAGAGAAACATCAGGCATTAGGAAACAGGGGTGCAACCCGAGGCAAAGGGCCCCGGCCATGCCGAGCTCTCCCCAGGCAGCGTCCCCGCTGTTCTCTGAAATACGCACGGGGATGCCTCTGCAACGCGCCTCCACTCTCCGAAGCCCCGGAAACAGTGGAATAACCCAATCTGTGTGAACTATCAATGATTCTAACTCGTGGCCTCTTTCCCCAGAACATCTTGGCTGCTACTTACCAGCAGGATTTCAATGGCACCAAGGATGTACATCGCACCTGCGAAGGTCGTCCCCAAGTAAAAACAGAGCCCCACAGCTCCACCAAATTCAGGGCCCAGCGACCTGGAGATCATGAAGTAGGAGCCGCCAGCTAGAAAGTGAAATTGCACAAGTATTTCTCTATCCCCCAGGATCAAGGCAACAGCACATTATAAATGACGCGTCCAAAACAAACAAACAAACAAACAGAAAAATACTGTTCTGACATTTAATTGCTAACCTGTCTTGTAGTATCCATAACAACCACCATGCCTTTAAGGAAATTCAAATCAATAGTGTTTTCAGAGATTAGATCCGGTCAGTCGTCCTGCCTACACAGAGTGTTTCGCACCATAAACCAGTAAGTTTTGGGCTATTTATCCTCAAGAATTTAGACATAAACTAAGACTTTAAGAGTGGATTTCTGAAAGTAAGTTCCAAAGATTTGTCCTTTTAAAAAAAGCATCTTAGGATGCAGACTATATGACAACATAAACATGCAAACACATACTTAAAAATTACTTTAAGCAAGATAGGAAACCAATATTTTCATGGCCATGAGGAATAGAAACTTTGCTGTAAGAGTGCAAACTGGATATGGGAATATTAGGAGATGGTAGGCAGCATTGAGCGGCACTGCAGGGATTGTTTGGGTGTGATTGTGTCCCACAGCCTATAAGTCATAGAACATTATTGCTCTCCTAGCATATACTCCTAGTGTGCAATATATTTTGTAGCACCAGCCTTACAAGTACTCAAGCATCCAAGCTGTTCAAAACCTGAAGTCCAGCGGCCCCACAGAATCAAGACAGGCACTAGTGAATTTCCCACCTTGAAGAAATTTGTGACAAAGAATGTCGAAAACACATTTAAGCTGTTTCATACCAACTCTGGGACAGGTGCGGGCAACCTCTGGAGGCCAAGGGGCCATTTCTGACCCCCCCCCCACTTGACCCCACTGGAGGCCAGAGGCTATGGTGGATCCCCTCCCACCAACAGGAGGGCTGAAATTGCTAAATTGGGCCCATCCACAAATAAACTATATCTAACTTTCTTGGCATGCCGTAGCAGCTTAAACAACCTGGATTTGCAGACAAGCCAAATCCCACCCTTCGTCACCGCGGAATTTTTTGGTGGAGGTGGGCATCGGGGGCCTGCCTGGGGGCTGCCAGTTGCCGACCCCTGCCCTACCTGCAGAGAACAAAGGTGTTCAGCTTTATGGACCGTGCGTGCGGTTGCCGAGACTGGTACGTGACCCACAGCTTTTGAGCTGAAAAGGAAATGTGTGAGCCCTCGGTTTAGCACGAGGGTCCCCCGTGGCTCAAAACTACACCTATGGCACCAACCTGGGACGACTCCATTTGTTGCAATGGCGCTCATTGATATGGCCGTCAGAAGTGTCTGTAAATAGCAGCATGCAAACAAACAAACAAAAAGAGGTGGGGAAAGAAAAAAGAAAATGAAAGGTTCAGAAGCAACTCTGATGGAAACTAAACTCGCTGTTATTTTACAGTGAAGACATATTCTCCAAATTTGAATATGTGCAACGTACTTTTGGCAGATTTCCACTGGATCTAATAATTTCCTAGGAAGCAAAATGTTATGGTGCCTAGATGGTGACATGGACTCTCTGCTACAAGTGGTGGATGCCTACGGAACGTGTCGGGCTGATTTGGTGCCTTGGCTGAAAATGTATGCAGAGATGTGCACTTCTGATCTGTCTGGGGAAATGTGCCCAAGTCAGGCCTGCTTCTAGGATCCCTTCCCGTATCACAGGAGCACCTGGAATTGGTTCGGGTCCTTCCTTTGGTGTGGACTGTGGGAGAATCCGTTCCCTAGGAGACAGTGCAGGTGCTAACCTTGACGTGGACGTGCTTGCAGGGTCAGATGTGAGATTCCCAGAGACTGTAACCATTAAGCCTATGCCTGGGACGTGCGGTAAGAAGAGGATCTTGCCTGCCGGGTCAGCGGATGCGCTGCGTACACAGGCTGCCCATGCTCTCTGGCTGGGCCTGCGCTGGGAGGACAGGCCAGTGGCAGACCGAAGCCCTATCCAACACAGCGCTCCGGTCACACCTTGGGCAACCAGCTGCCGTCCTTCAGCCCTTTTGGCAGCTCGTGGGCCTCACGGCTCTTGTCAAAAGCAGGCCAGCAAATCTGTCAGGCAGCGAGGCAGCCAAACCAAACAGGGCGGGAGACATCTGGCCAGCTCATGGGTGCCTCCTCCGGGTGACCAGTAAAAGGAGGCAGAAGCAGGCAGCACGGAGAGCCGCTGTGCCCCCAGGTCGGGTACTCACACAACAGCAGCAGATCAGCACGATGAGGAAGGACTGGATCACTCCAGCTGTGCCCACGATCCACGTCAGTCGGAGGAAGAGGATGACCCCGAAGATGTTCTGCATGCAAGGCAGGTAGACCCCCATCAGGGTCCCCATGCTGGGCGACTGGAAAAGAAGGGGCAGGAGTCAACACTGTGTTTCGAAGCTGTCGCTATGTGTGTCTGACGGGGATTCAATTCCTCGCCTAGCCAGGCTGCTCAAGAAGTTCCAAAACGTTGAGAGCGCTTCACAATAAGCGGCCGTTCGGAGCCCAGGGGACAAACTTCACAAAAACCTCCACCGGCACTTCTGCCTAACGGAATAGTCACTGTATAACTCAATCGACACCCCTTTGGTTAAAATTAAATCAAACTGTGTTTGCCTGGCACAAGCACCAAGAAGAGCATTGCTCTTCTGTGATGTATGCAGAGGTTAAACCTGAGCGCATGCACACCCAAATGCGTGCCGTCGGATTTCGGGTCCCGCCTGTGGTCCTGGAACTCACAACAGAGAACCTGTGATTAGACTTTAACACATGGCAACTGTTCAAGCAAACTTCTCATGGTGTACAGGAATGGGGGGGGGTCCCTGCAGATGTTGTCGGACCTCCCACGAACCGTAGGCAGGCAGCATGGCAAACAGTCCAGGATGCCGCAGAACGTGGCAACTCTGCAGAGCATGGATATCATGGGTCCAAGGAGCAAAACAGTCTGCACCCCAATGGGACACCCACCCCAGGCTCCACTTCGTTTCCTATCTGGAGTTCCCTATATGGGAATTTTGTTACTCGGGGACCCATAGGCCCAGTTAGCTAAGCAAGCTATGGCAAAAATTTAGATGAATTTGACTTATTTCTACTATGCTCAGAAAGCGAAAGCTGCCTGGCTGGATGGACATCAAAGCTTCTCAAATACGCTTCCAGTGTTTAGTGTGCCAAGGCAGCACCTGGATTCATTTGAATACCAGAAGGCAAACCAAGTGAAATCCCATCTGGCAGCTACGCATTCCCACAGCTGCATTTCTCCCCCTTTCCATCACGGGGCGAAGAGCTGCAGGCCCACACGTGATCTGGATTTCTCAGAATTTGTTCCACCCTGCCCAGAACAGTGACATAAGAAAAATGACGACAACAAGGTTCCGCTCTAGGCCTGCTTGATTCACCTCCTGGGCTAACGGGTGGAAGCAAGGCAGGACCCGACATTCTTTGCTATGCATCTCTCCCGACTCCAGGGGTCACAAGGCACTGCAGATGAAGAAAGAGCGGGTGTGAAGGTTTCTAATCTCCTCCTCTGGCATAAAACAGAGGGAGGGAGGGGTCTGACCCAAGCCTTTGTCACAAGCCCACACACGTGTGCACACGCACACGCACACACACATTCCTTGCTCAGGTCAGGACAGAGTGCTTCTAACGTCAGTCTTTATTTAATTTTTATGCCACTCAATAGCTGGCGTTCTCAGGGCGGTTTACAACCTCTCAGCAAACTAATTAAGGAGACAGTTCTTATCAGCATCTTAGGTCCTGCTGGCCTGGGGCATTCCAGCTAAGAATTCCAGTCCCGCCTCTTCCCATTCCCAGGCGACAACTGTGGAAGGCTGCATTTTAGGAGAGGTGAGTGTGGTCCCTGCCACCTTTCCGTCACTCATTCCAAGGCTGGAAAGCCATCCTTGCGCATTTTGCCCATCCAGGCTGGCTTGTCTTTCAGCCCCTAAACAGAACCACCAACGGCAGAATCCGACAGCTCACAGTCGCAGCGTTCAATCTGTTTTCAAATTCCGAAAAATCCAGAGCACTTGTGGTATTTGAACTAATTTATCATGCCTATGCCTATTTTACCTCTGGTGTGTTCAGGCAACAGGACAAATTCCGCGATTCCAATCCCCAGTGTTGTCCTGCAAATAAAAAACCACTCACTAACGGAAGCTACGCACTTTGGATACTTTTCTCCGGGAGCCTTCGGCGCTTTCTGCTTCCTCATGTTCCTTGGCGCCCTGCGTGAGGTTTGTGTAGCTGACCAGTTTCCCAAGCAGAGAAGAGACTTTCGGGCGAATATCCAGTTCTTCCTGCGAATGAAACACACGTGAGGATTAAAATAGTAAATGTCTAGGATTCACCGAGTGAAGAACTCAAGGCATTTTCGCAGCTACTGTTACAACGACCTTGTGAAGTAGGGCAGCACGACCGTTCCCAGGGGGAGCATCCGTACCCAGCGCTCCTGTCGTTGGGCCGTGCAGGACGTTTCCCTGCCGTGTCCCACCAACTCCATGAGGCTGGCTTGCAGAATGATTGTGAAAATCCAGCCGGCCTCTTCCTCCAGGCAGGAGTTCCGGAAAGCATTCCCCTCAGATGGCTGTGCTCTGGGACAACGGTCCCGTCTGTTATGGCCTCCGTGCGAGAATAACAAACAAGAGCCCTGCAGTGTAGCACCTTGCTTGTGACACTGGCCACCCTCTGTCAGACTAACTACGACCACTGAACGTTGCTGCTGTCGCTTCGTGCTGATGGACTGACGCAACGGCCCCCCGAGAATCCAGGAGCCCAGAGGGGAGTTTAAAATTCTTCAGAACTATGGCATTTTATAGGTAGTTGTTTTGAGGTCTACTATTTTTAGCATGGTTACTTCACTTTTTTGGAAGCGTTATCACATCACGGCTTTTCATTCATTTCGTTTACAGCACATATGCACCACTAATAAGCACTAACGCAAACCAGCATGAACGAAGTGCAGGGGGGACTGGAGGTGAGAGACGGGATGTGTCTCCCAAGGCCCAAGACCTCCCGATCCAGGCAGTGCAGCCGTGATCAGAGGCCGTTCTTCAAGGTGTGCACGGAAGCCGGTGCCCCCGTTTCGGGATTCCGTCTGCACTGAGTGCCCCCGCTGTCAGCACCGCAAACCTTTTGGGGGTAGGTTAAAATGCCCTCTCCTTCGAGAAATTGGTTCATGTGTGGTGTATTTAAATCTGTTACTGTCTGTCGTTCCTTTGAAAATGACGGCAACGACAACTGTTCCGAGATCCATGTTTACCATTTGGATGCTTAGCGATGGCTTCCAGCCACCGTAAAGTAGCCGCTTGTGGGCTTGTCCTGACATTACAGGGTTCGGCCCCCAGCCTTCCCCAGCTCAGGACCAGCAAGAAGGCCAAATGCTGCACCTGTGCTATGGAGCTGGATGCCTAATGCTTGCCTTCTGCCCTCTTGCAGACTGGGCCGGGGTCCTTAGGACTGCCCTGGCTGGAGGCATCCGGTCCCTCAGCAGTCACCACCAGCAGCCATTCCAGCAGGCTGAACGAAGGGAAGGGCGAGGGAACGCATGACCCCGGCAGCTCGCTCGTCCCCCTCGCCTTTCTCTCCCCTTGCATGTTGTGCCTTTTCAAGCTGTCAGCCGGCGGGCAGGGCCTGCCTTGTTGAAACTATTGTTTGTGAGCTGCACAGAAGGCGTGATGTAAATATAAGTCCAGGAATTACAAATGAATACATGATCTCCTTCCAATAACATGCCCACCAATCCCAAAGCAGTGCCCATCACGTGCGACCAACCACCTCTCAAGTCCTCCGTCTTTTGGGTGGATGGCCAGATTCCACCATCATCAAGGAATATGAAAAACTTGGTAGATCTGGCCAAGGAGGAATCATCTCAGCAGGATGATCAGCCAAACCTTCCATTTTTCATTATAAAAAGGTGAAGCAATGAACATCAATGTCTCCATGCAGGTTTATGGCTTAGGAGGTCCTCAAACACCTGTAACCTGCAGCTTTGGCAACAGACACTGTGCTAAGAGCTTGGCACTGAGGTGAAGCAGATACCTCGAAAGCTGCCTGGACCAGGTCAGGGGATCCAGTTTGCTTAGCATCTTCTGAGCTGCCTGGCAACAGGTCTCGGGGATCATGGATTTTTGTTCTCACCTACTAACTGCTCCTTTTAACTAGCAGTGCAGGGGATCTGGGACCTTCTATATACCAATCTGATGCTCCACCATTTAACTACAGCATAAAAGCCTCTGAGAAAAAGGACTCAACGGAAGTTCTACATTCTTCTATAAGAAGTTTGTTCTCCTTCCCTCCTTCCCCTTTAACTGTGCTGTCAAGGAGAGATCAAGAGGTGAGGTGCAAACCTGTGAGGACCCATCTCCCCAGAACTCAGTGTTAGGCATGGCCACACCTCCCACAACCAGGCTGCCATATTCTCTTGTTCCACCTACCACAGGCTGACGATTCTCCTCTGTGATGCAACATGGAAGGTTCTGAGTTGACATACCCAATCCCAATACACAGCAAAGGCAGCTCTTCTTAAGGCGATTTATTTAACATGCTTAAACCACTGCACAGCCAGCATTTACTGGGCAAGTGAACTGAAGTTCTACATTTCTAAAAATATCATTCCAGCCTCATAAATAGCAATTCAAGCTGGGAAAACTTGGCACAGCCAAGTAAACATCTACAAGGGCTAAGGAACTGTAGCTGAACTCTTTCCAAGGCTGCACGATGCTTGGGCTGTGAAACTGTAGCTCAGGAACGATCCTCTTTTCCTTTGCTTTACAAGAGCCAAGCTCGCACATGAGACGCATTACTGAGCGTCAAAATGGCCAGGAGACCCTGCTGGGTGCCTGGGAGGCAGGTGGAGATGACCGGGAGGTAACGGGTTGGATGGAAAGATGCAAGCCGTCTCCCTCCCAAATGGCCAAAGTGGTCCAGCTGGAGCACCTCACTTTCGGGGGATACTTAGGAAGGAGCAAGCCCACCGGTGTCAAGAATGCGATGAAGTCCATTGAATAAAACGATTAAATAGGATATGGAATATGAGCAAGGGAAGCAACACTAATTCGAAGTGTTGGCATTAACAGGCAAAGCCCTAAATGACTTGGGGCCGGGATATCTGAGGGAACGCCCTTCGCCCTATATCCCTCCCAGGTCACTAAGACCTTTGTTGAAGGTCCTTCTCCAGGAGCCATTCCCAAATGGAGCGAAGCGGGAACTGGCTCGGAGAAGGGCCTTGGCTGTGACTGCCCCCACTTACGGAATGCCCTCCCTAGGGAAGCACACTTGGTGCCATCACCGCTCACCTTTCCGCACCAGGTATGGACTTTTTCAGCATATATTTCTAGGAGCCAATTTGGTTCCTATTCCATCAGTTCCCTGCAGTTTGCTTGCATTGCTCTCCTGCCATGAATATCTGATTTTATATTTTTATTGGATTTTATCCTTGCACTCTTGATTTTATTCTTTGGTTTCACTGTTGCCAGTTCATGCTTTTATTGTTAGCCACCCAGAGAGCCCTTTGGGCTATAGGGCAGCACATACATATAATGAATGGATAAAATATTGGTTCCTTGAATAGGAGCCAGCTGCCTGGGGAGGTGGTGGGCTCTCCCACACTGGAGACATTCAAGGCGAAACTGGACAGCCCTCTGAGTGGGATGGTGCGACTTGGCGTCCTGCAGCAGCAGGGGGGTGGACTCAATGGCCTTCATGGCCCCTTCCGACTCCACTATTCTATGGGCCCTGACTCTCCCCACTGCAGAGTCCATGCGAGGCACGCAGGCCCCTGCCCTCCGTTCCTGGGAACGATGATGCAGAGGCAAACAGCCCGTCTATTCAGATGACTGAGGAAGGCAGATTCATGGGCATTAGCTCTGGCTATCCTCCTGAGGCACACAAGGCCACGAGGCCTTGGCAAGCCTTCAGGGCCCCACCCTGGCTTTTTGCAAGCCAGGACAGTTCGCTACGCCACCTGTGGAGAACCTCCTCACCGTTCTCAAGGTAGAGCCCGTGCGAAGCAGCGAGAGGCCCCAGGACAGGGAAGGGGCAAGAAGAGTTCCAACGCCACACTTGCTGCAAAGGTGCAGCGAGGGCGGCACCCAGCGCAGCGCTGATGGCAAGCAGGATGAGTGCCACAGCCCCAGTGGCCAGCATAACGGGGAACAGAAGATACACCAAGTGAGGCCCCCGCAGTCCCGAGGGAATTTGCAACACATTTCCTGAAGGGTTGGGGTCGGAATGCCTGCAGGATTTAGAGCCCGGAAGGAAAGGGACCCAAGGCTGAGGCTTGAAAGAAGTGTCCCTGGCAGGCAAGAGGAGGGCTGCACACATGCTGCCGCCCCCTGAAAGCCGCCCCCGCCCTCCTGCCACTCTGCCCTCCCACCACATTTCCCAGACCTGAGCTGTCCCCAAGGCATGGCGGGCGGGCGGGCGGCCGGGGGGCTTATAACAGCCTTATGCAGCACCAAAAGCTTTGAAAAAAGAGGCGGAGGTGGACTCTAAGCCTTAAGGGGATTCTAAGGCTGGCACTAGGCAAGCACCTTTTATTTACCCGATACTTTAACTGCCAAGATAATTTTAAAGCCTCAGACCATTTTATGGTATATATTACATTTAGGTGCTCCTGTGCCTTTTTTCCTGTACTTATTGGTAAGATTCGAGGCTATTGTGAAGTTTTACTGCGGTGCTTTTTGTTGCTTGATTGTTGTGACTTTATTATTGTGAGATTTAATTCATTATTTCAATATATATTACATAAATATATTTAATAATGTATTAAATATATTATTATATTCTGTAACCCCCCAGAGAGCCGTTTTGGCTACAGGGCTGGCATATAAATCCATCCATCTAAAACATTTACATACCTTCTTTCACTATTGCATCTGAGGACGGCTTGAATGAGAATCGAATGAATGAATGAATGAATGAATGAATGAATGAATGAATGGGCCTTCTAGATATACCCCGGATTTCATCCTATACCATCCATCAAACCATTAATGCCAATTTCTGTCCAGTCCTTTTTCTCAACGGAACCCAGAATGTGCTACACAAAATCAATCAAGCTCCAGGCCCCCATAAAACCCTAAAGGTGCAATCCAATAGGACTGCCTGTAAGCCTTCAAACTTGGAGGACGGCACACATCTGATGCACGGCAGGAGCAACATGGAGGTAATCTTCACCTCTACACCGTGACTGCCTGCAAAAGTCAGGCAAAGTGCTGATTTCGGCCACCTCACTGTGATGCTTCGGGGGGTGGGGTGGCTGGGCACCCCTCTGCGCCCCATATTCCCCTTTATCCCTTCTCCACATTTGCCCTTATGACCCGGGGGGGGGGGGGGGAGTGAACCAGGTGCAATGCCAGGCAGGCTACACAGCCAAAGCTGTTTTCAAGATGTGGAGCTGTGACTCTGAAGCATCCCAAGACCTCCAAATATAGTCTGGGAGTTGCGGGATCGCTTTGTTTATCATGCCGCAAATACTACTGCTGCAGGACAGCTGCAATCGTCACACCCCCGCGTGCTTTCCAGAAGAGAAATGACTTTCCCATCTTTTGAAGTATTGCCAGCGACTGGGTCTGACAGGCAACCTACAGGGGGGAGCCATGGGGCAGACAGGGTGGGAGGGGGGAGCACATCTCCAAGGCGGAGGATCCGCTTCATATGCAAAATCCAGATCGATGTCCCACATCCAGCCCTGACTTTTCCGGTTGAGAGGAACTGGGCAGGACCGGTGCTTTGAGGTGCTCAGAGAGCTGGAGCAACTCCCGACTTATTATTTGCAGTTTATTATGTAAACCACCCAGAGTGCCAAAAGGCTCTTGCAACGGTATATACATCAAAGTGTTAAATAAATAAAATAGACAATACTGGACTGGACAATGTGGAGCAGTGTTCGACTTAGCACATGGTAGCTTTACTTGTAAAATCATTCTTACAGTTTTCTGCTGGTGTAATACAATGAGTACGGTCCAACAGTACAACGCCACAAACACAAACCAGCATTTCCAGTCACAAACATATGTTCCATTGTGCCATCTCAGGGGTGTGAAACCCAGTAATCCACGAAAAGCAAAGTACCATAAGCATAGCTTAATAGCGCTTGGGCGAAAGCATCCTTGCAGAATGAATACTGTACCACATACTGGTCTGCATGTTTGCAGGTATTTGCTTAACACAGGAAAGAGATGCTAAATTGCAGCAGAATTCTCCTAATTTACTGTGCCTATTGTCAATCCAATTTTAGCTAATTTTTCTGCAAGGGCTGTTTGGCATATTCTTGCACATCACCTTGCAATACTGCAGCCCGACCACAGCCCCCCATTTTCCAGGGCACATGGGTGGCTTCAAGTGGGGATGACAAAGCTGCACGGGTGTCAGTGGCCACTGATCACAACGGCTGTGTTTGCCCCAGTACTGGAGGTCGAGTGCCTCTACATACCAGGTGCTGTGGAACATGGGTAGGAGCATGCTATTGCACTCATGCCCTGCTTCTGGGTTTCTGGGGGGCAGCTGGATGGCCACTGAAGGAAGAGGGTGCTGATTAACCGATCTTTGCCTGATCCAGCGTGGCCGCTCTTCGGAGAGCTGGCAGGAGCTGGGGGAGAACCTTCAAGCTCTTCCCTTTAAGCCTGGCTGTTTTGCGCACGTGCCACAACCACCGTGCAACTGCGGAGACGGCCTTGGCCCAGTGATTGGACCCAGACAGCGCAACAAGGGTTGAATGGGAGGTGCAAACCATGGGTTGTTGCTGAAATGTGGGTGACTGTGCGGTCTGAACCTGGCCAAGACTTTGTTCACAACCCAACAACAAGCCATGGGTTCTCTATGGGTTCGCTTCATGGGTTGTGCCTGGTTAAAAGCCAAGAAACAGGAGGGTTTGGACAACACGGCCGCAACCAACAGTTCCGTGACGTCCCACACGCAACCCCTGAGAGTGACTTGTGTTTTCTGAACCCAGTCTGTGCACTGAACGTATCACAACCTGCAGAGAGAGACAAATGCCACAAGTGGGGGATGGGGAAAAGGACCACTCTTGCATACCAAGGGTGTCCACTCCACACAGTAATAAATCAATAAACACAGCGAGAGAAATACAGACACATTACTTACCTCAAACAAGGCCAGATTTCTGTCATAGTAGTCTCCTCCTTTGCCGAGGTCAGAGGTGCTAAGGAAAGGACTGCTTTCTTTATGGTTGCCATGACCTGCAAGGAAAAGAGGGGAAGAACATTTCACGGAGGAAGGATTGCTTGGAACCGAAGGGAAATGAAGACGGAGCGGGGCCACTTTCATAGTCCTCGCTCTGTGTGCATACGGAAGTGTGCTGCTTTCAGCTGCCGCTTGCGAGGGAAGACCATGACTGAGCCAAGATGCTTCCTCGTGTGCAGAAAGCGCCTCACAGCCCCCTCGTCCTGACCAGCCCCCCCCCCCGGGCTGAATCCGCCGGTGGCCAAGCACAGCTGTTCAGGCACACGCCACGCAGGCCCCTTCGTCGTGATCCGCATTCGAAAGCACCTCTGAATCGAGCTGTGTTGGGCATCTTAAAAATGCCACGAGGCAAGGAAGTTTTTTGCAGGTTTTCCATTTTTAACCAGTCACAGTTATACCAGACACCACAATACAGTATCTTAGACTGATTCACCCCAATTCATTCATTCACTTCATTCCTAGACCACCCCACTGTCGAAGCAACATGAACAGTTTACGTAGTCCATAAAAACAGGTGATAAAAATACAATAAAATCAGGAAAAAAGGAGATGATTACAACAGCTAAAAACAAGTGATAATACAAATAATAACCAGGGTGATTACAGAAACTGGGCACAGAATCCAAAGGATGACTGTTAAAGACAGGCTTTCAAATACATTTACTGGGTTCAGACAACCAGAACTGAATAGGGGCTGACGGTTTTTGAACCATGGGTTATTGTGTTGTCTGAAACCAGATGTGCTCACAAATCCTTGCTGGTTAATGACAAATGATCCCATAAGGAGAACTTCTCCTCTCCTCGGGGTGGGTGGTGGAGGGGATAGGCAGGGACGCATTATAATAGATACGTGTCACTATTCACCAAGTCACAATCCATGTGTCCTGCATCTGGAAGAAATTAAGGAACAGCATGGAAGACTTTTGATTCTAGTCTAAGCCACTCCCTGCTCTCTCTCTGAACCTCTGTCTCTTCCAGAGGATGCAAGGGAGAGGTCAGGCCGCATTTTTGGGTCGGTGGTTCCTGAACCATTTCTTCTCTTCTTCAAAATGAACACAGAGGGAGACGATTTGCAGAAGGTCAAGAGCACTTCCACTAGCAAGCGTTTGGGAAGAAATCTGTTCCCTTTCAGCAAACACAGCACCAATTTGCTCCAAGGACTCTCACTCACAGAATTGCACTGCATTGCACTTAGTTCCCCCCAGAGTAGCTCAAATGCATTTCTACTGAATGAACATTTGCAAGGACAACTGAAAATGTTCCAGGAAAATGCCAACTTTCCCACTGCCTTGGAAAGTAAATATGATGAAGAGAGGAACCCTTTGTTGTTCCACTTCACACTGGAAATCTGCGTCAACAAGGAGATGATTTGTGCAGTGCTATCAGACAAGCAACGAGCAGCCGTTGCTTTGAGTGATGCGGCTTTTGGAACATTTGCTGCAGGAATTCTCCTGCACTGCGGCTGGAAGAAGCCCCAGGTTCCAATCATTCTGCTTTGTTCAATAATGCAGTACAGTCACTTTACCAAACCAGAAACCACAGCAAATCTTTTAGATCCATGAAAGCTCAGTCTAATCAGCTGAGATTTCTGGTTTGACAAAGTGAACTTCACCAAAGGCTGCACTGGCCTTGTGCAAACAAGCTACGTGTCAGAGAAGTGGCAGCATATAAAGGAAACTGAGCAAGAGCGACAGGGGAAGTTTTCTTCTTTAAGAGGTCTAGTATAAGAGAAGAAAAACAAAAATGCTTCAGGACTAGCATCGTGTGTGAACTTATTTATAGGCTGTTTTGATTACTCCTGTCTCTAACAGGCATAAATCATAGAATCATAGAACAGAAGAGCTGGAAGGGGCCATGAAGGCCATCAAGTCCAACCCCCTGCTGTTGCAGGAGGGTTGGACCTCTGCAGGTCCTCTGCTTCTCCAAAGATCCACTCGCTCTGCCCTCATTCCAAATCACTTTCGTGAGTCCAGAATTCTTCCCTAATAAGCCGACGACAAGGGGTTTAAAGTCAAGTTCACAGAAGGGCATCCTATTTTCATCTCCATCAATATGTTGATTTTGTCAATGCAAGCAACGTGCCAGATGAATTGCTAGATGCACAGGGGGATATAACCATTTATCACACCGGCAAAAGCATCCCTTCGCCACGATCACCCGCAATTAAGCACCTGGGTAAGCTGCAGACGGGACTGCTTAAGGCATCTTGTCTCGTCTCGTCTAGTGTGTGCCTTTTCCCAAGAAGAACTTTGCAACTGCTAGTTCACAGATTAAGTAAGTGAAGAACCATGACTTTTGAATACAGCAAGTTGCTGCTGCTGCTTTTACAAGCTGTGAAGTTGCATTTAGCTTCGCTCCCCCACACCAGGACAAAAAGCTGCCTTTCTTTTGTTCTCAAGTTTACTTCTGCAGAACTAGCCTTTCATATGGACTGCTTGGCATATTGCAGAGGGTTTGGGGCTGTAGCAATGGCACACTGCATCACAACTGGACACAAGAACTATCAATGGGAGCAGCCCAAAAGCCCACCTGGCATTCCAGTCCAAGACCCTGTTTCCCACGGGGGCCAACAGGCCTCCCTGACTAGATAACCCACAGCAAGTGCTATTGAGTGATAGCGGAGATTCTCTCTAGCTTTCGCGGCCATTGGCCACTGACAGACCTCTCTGCCACAGAAGATGGGGATTACATGAGTGCAGCCGACTGGAGTCCAGGGTCAGACTAGATGACCTGGGAGACCCTTCTGACTTGCTTTTTCCCTACGTTTCTATGTTTACATGGAGGTTGTCTTTCTTTCCAAGCCATATAGCCTGGGGGAAATTGCAACAGGGAATTCAATAAACTATGTGCTGTATAAAATACTTTCTTTTGTCTTTTCAGAATTTATTGGCAACCAGTTCTGGCCTTCCTTTGTGATCGGGCCACTACTTTACATCCCAGCTTTGTGGAACTAGTAGGGCTGGATTCACACATGACAAGACACAGCAAGAGTTGACTGCCAGCTGTCGTTAAACTGCACACTGTTGTGTTATACTAACAGGCAGCTGCACCAACAAACCATGGTTTGCTAACCATGAGCCCTTCCAAAGAAACCATGGCTTGTTTCTGATTACAGACTGTGGGTTGTTCATGGTGACACACCATGGTTTGCTAAGGAGACTGGGTTCTTGCAGCATAGCCACTTATGGTGCAGTGAAACCCACACTCATCCCATATTCGACCTATGCTTTGGCTTGTCGGGTTACATGAACTAGGTCTGTACGCCCCACATACTAAGTCAGGTGCAGCAGCACTGCTACCTGGCAGAGCTGACCCAGGACTTGCCACTTCATCGCCTCCCCAGTGCTGCTCCTTCTGGTGCCCCAGACAGTTCCAAGGTCTATCCATGCATGCCAGTCCATCCCGCCACACAGTGATTGGCCCTACCTTCATAACGGGTAGCATTATTTAACACAGAAACGGCATTGAGGTCTCTCCCCTCCATGAGGCTTAAATAATTAGTTGCCACTCTGGAAAATAGCTTACTGAAAAATCTTAAGGCAAGTATTTTTTAATTTCAGTCAGATAATCATGCCTTATGAGATGTTTTTAAAATAGCGTACCCAAATTATTTTTGAAGACCCACCCAAGCTTTGCAGTGTTTCGTTTCAGTTGTCGAGGCATTTTGCATTCCTAGAAAAATAGATGGCCAAGCATAAAGCATGGCAGAGACAACTGCATTTGCAAACATGCGCTTTGCAAAGTGGTCGTAAGAGAATTGGCTGGAAATGCAGTCCTGGGACTGCTGCTCCGTAATGCAGCACCCTGTGTAACTCAGATTTTCTCCCTTGGTACAATGAGTTCTAGCTCATGGCAATCAACCGTTCCAACTGCGATGCGCACATGTTCTCCGAAGCCAAATGACGTCAAGGGGGGTGATCTTCATTAGCAGTATTGGATTTTGCTTCTGGAACGGCACGATCAATTACTGGCAGCAGGGGCTTTAGATTTACAAATCATGTTACCACAAGAGGCATAAATCGCTGCCATTCACTTTTACAAAAAACAAACCACACTTCCATCTTTAAATTACATTTAAGAGCATAATGGCTGACTCGTGCAGGTGGCTAAACCATGGTTTAGCGTTGCATTAGCAAGCCTGGAAGCTTAGGTTCATCCTTCTTCTCTAACCCTCCACATGCCCCAGTTTCCTCCCCAGTGCCTGTTTTAGGGCAAATTCCAGTTTGAAAATTCAAACTGCACCTTCTAATTATGGCTTGGAGGGCAAACAGAAAGTAAAACTTGCCCACTGCCCACTCAGCAAACAATGGTTTGCCTGAAACGAGAAGGTGCAGAAACAACGAGGGTGCCTGTGGAGGAATGAAGCAACCCTAGGTTTGCGACTGTGCGGGTCTGGTGCTCCGTGTCAACTAAGCCCTACACAGCACAAGGACTAAAGCAGAGTTAGTACAGTGCGCCACTTGTGGGCACCTAAGTATCTTCCTTGTTCAAAATTCAGTTGGCTGCTCGCCAGTGCATCCCCCTGCAGCATGGCCAGTTTGTGGTAGCGCCCGCAACATTTTGTCCACTTGCCAAATGTGTCTGCAAGCCAAAAATGGTTGCGTACCCCTGGATTAAAAGGTGGAGCTAGAAGTCAGGATCACGGCAAACTGCCTTATACACATCAGGTTATGCTTCCGTCTAGTCCACTGTTCTCTCTTCTGGCAGACAACAGCTCCCTGAACTCTGGCACAGCAAGGTTTTTTTTTCTTTTCCTTTATTAAATTTCTATCCTGCCTTTCTTCCACCTGCAACATCCTCTTCTCCATTTAATTGAATTTCCAACAAAGCAAATAATTTATTTATTTATTTAAAACGTTTCTATGCCGCCCCCATCGCAACAAAGCCTCGGGGCAGCTCACAACAAAAACAAACAAGAGCATATAAAATTTTACAATAAAAATATTAAAACCCGGTGCATCTCGGCTTAATTTTTTTTTTAAAACCTACATAATAA